GGCAACGGATCGCAACCCTCCGTGTTGCCCCCGTACCGGACCGGGGACTGGCAACGGGATCGCAAGCCTCGGCGTTGCTCCCGCACCTCGCTCAGCCAGCGAGCGGGAGCCGGTCTGTATGTGGGATCCGAACCCTCGGACGGGAGCGCCGCCGCGCTTCCCAAGCGGTGCACTATCCAGTGCGCCACCGGGCCGGCCCAGAACATAGTTTTGAGTCAGATGGCACAGCTCTGCTACTTATTCTGTGGATGACATTGGGCAAGTTACTTACATTTTACCCTTTTTGTGTCTCAGTTTCTTCATTCATACACAGTGATATAAAAGTACCTGCTGCAGCATGTTGTGGAAACTAAACATGACTGTCACACAGGGCATGACACATTAAAGCCCCTCAATGAATGTTTATTCTTCTGCTACTGATTATTATAACTTTATAACTTATTATCTATCTTAATGTATGGTGGGGCAAGCCCGTCCTCATTATCTTTTCCCGAAAGAATTTTCTGGGGAATAGTAGTCTTTTAGGGCCAGGTCTACTGTGGATGAATAAAATAGAATTTTTTGATTTGCAAAGCTGATGTCCAACCCCTGAAGTGTGCCCATATACGAAAGTCATCATGACCAGTGAGGCCTTGATTGAGCAACCAGAAGGATTTGGGTGGGTGCCTGGGCCTGGGGCTTTGGATCTCATATAGCAGGTGTTTTAAAATGTTTTTGTCTTAATTTTTACTTTAACAAAGGAATTTGTAAAGTTTTAAGAACCAACTAGTTCTACAAAGTTTTTAATGAAAAATAATGACCCCTTCTTCCTCTTTCCCTACACTACATATGTGCTCTTCTGTAAACCACTCTCATTTTTATTTATCATTTTTTTTTTTGGATGGCTGGCTGGTATGGGCATCTGAACCCTTCACCTTGATGTTATAAAATCACGCTCTCACCAACTGAGCTAACCGGCCAGCCCCCAACTACTCTCATTTCTAGGCTGCTTCTTCTAGTACTTAACTCTATATTTCTAAATCACATGCTCATATTATTATTTCTTGTTTGTTTTTTTCCATTTTAGATATAATCAACTGACTCTCTGCCATAGAAGATGAGGATTTAGTTCTCTCTAATCCCAATTTACCTAATATGCTCTCCTCTCCACCCTCTCAATTTAAATACTGTATATCGCAATTTTTTTTTTTTAAAGATGACCTGTAAGGGGATCTTAACCCTTGACTTGGTGTTGTCAGCACCACGCTCACCCAGTGAGCGAACCGGCCATCCCTATATGGGATCCGAACCCGTGGCCTTGGTGTTATCAGCACCGCACTCTCCCGAGTGAGCCACTGGCCGGCCCCTAAAGCAGTTTACTTTTAAGTAATAAAAACAACAGCTAGACCTTTTCAGTTCTGTAAGTGATCTGGTTCACTTTCAGTCAGTCCTTAAGCATAAGTCAGGTGTTTGTAATTCTGTGAGAGTTTTTTTGTTTTTGCTGTTTTTATGAGCTTTGGGTGTGTCAGCCTTAAGGAGAAGCTAGGGTTTTGCTTCCTTGTTTGTTTTTTCATGATCAATAAATAAGAAGGCTGAATTTTTTGGTTTATTTGTAACAACGACATTTTCAAGTAGTTCATATAAGAAGCAGTATAGTGTAGTGGTTAAAATCGTGGATGCCTGGACCAGATGGCCTGCTTTCAAATTCTAGGTCCATCGGTTACTAGATGTTTAACCTTGGGCATTTTACTTAACCTCTCCATGCTTTAGTTTCCTATTAGAGGACAATGTTCTAACACCAAGGTCAGGGGTTTGGATCCCACTACTGGCCAGCCACCAAAAAACCAGCATAAACTAGAATTAAAATTTTGAGGGGTGTCTTGGCTTTGCTTTCCTCACTCCTCCCTCCTATGAACTCCTCTGAGGGTTTTAATTCCCAAATCACTTCCTTGCTTTTAAATTTACCATCTCATCTTTTCTTGTCCTTTCTCCTCATTTTTGTTGGGAGGGAAGAGGAGATAGGACTGGGCTTCCCTCTCACGAAGTGAAAATAGACATCTTCTAGTCGCTCTACACTGAAAATGGTGACAGTTTCAGGCACCTGGGCCAGGCAAGGCCGGTGCCGAGAAAGGGGAAGATCAGGAAACCCCAGCTAGAGCCAGGTAGCATCTGCCAAGAACACTGACTATCTCCTGCCAGCCTGGCTCACTCCATTCTCTCCTGAAGCTATTTTTACTTTTTTTCCTGAAGCCAGACTCCCACTGGTACTACAGTGAGCACTGGTGCAGGCTTCTCCTGAGTCTGGAATCTTTAGAAAGGAAGTATATCCTGTCCCTGTGGCTCCTGGGAAACTCCTAGGCTGGCTGGATTCCCAGTAGGTTTGGCTAACAGTCTGGGATCCTGGGAACCTTGAGAAGAAAATAAACTGGTAGATCCCCAGGGTAAGGACTTCTGCTATGTCCATTCTGTCCCTTAGGTTCTCTCTGACTAGTTCCAAGGGTTTGGTTTGCTCATCTTCATTACCGCTCTGAGCTGAGCTGAGTCACGGGGAGGCTGGTGAGGTGACCACAACTGGGCTCTGAGAGACTGTTCTCCGAGACCTGGTTCCTGGTACAACGCAAAACAGCAGGAAAGTCTTTCTTTCTGTTGCCTAGGGACTTAGCCTCTGCCAGGGAGTGCCTGGGCTTTATCCAGGAGACAGTGACTGTGGTTGGAGTTTCTACTGTTGCCTCCCCTGGTTTGAGGGCTCTGTTCTGCTGACTTCCATCTTCTTTCCTGTCTCCTGCTCACAGCACTGAAACTATGAGGCTCTGGCCTCCACTGGCCACTCACTCATAACCCCTTACACCACGGCGGAGCCTTCCAAGCCTACCTCCTGCCGTGTGGTGATCTACCTGCAGCGGGAGATGTCGGGGGATACCTGTCTGTGCCCAGCATCTGGGGCCAAGCCGAAGCTAAGTGGCTTCAAGGGAGGAGGGCTGGGCAACAAGTACGTCCAGCTCAACGTGGGTGGCTCCCTGTACTATACCACCGTGCGGGCACTCACCCGGCATGACACCATGCTCAAGGCCATGTTCAGCGGACGCATGGAGGTGCTGACTGACAAAGAAGGTACGGCATCAGGGCTCCTTGGGCAGGGTGGTGAGGGAAGGAGAATTGACATTTCCTCTTCACCCGGAGTCCTTAGTAGAGCTTCACGATTCTTTTAAATTGTACATAGAATATTGTATGCTTGTGCATTTTCCAGGGAGAAGATCCATACTTTTTTAATATTCAAATAGGACTAGATTTTTTTTTTTTTTAAAAGATGACCGGTAAGGGGATCTTAACCCTTGACTTGGTGTTGTCAGCACCACGCTCAGCTAGTGAGCGAACCGGCCATCCCTATGTGGGACCTGAACCCGGGGCCTTGGTGTTATCAGCACCGCACTCTACCGAGTGAGCCACGGGCCGGCCCAAATAGGACTAGATTTTCATAAGAAACATCGCCATAGAAACTAGGCAGTGGGCAGAAGACTGGTGGTTTCTGTGTTGCCAGGGGCGGGCCTGAGTGCTCTTGAGCTTAGACCTTTGTGACCGCCGCAGAGCCTGAAGGGCCAGTATCTCTCCTGGTAGCTGCCAGTCCTTGGTTTCGGGGAGGAGGGGTGAAGAGAAGCTGTGTATCTGAGAGCTAGAACTTCCATTCCCTCTTCTGTTGCATTGTGTCCTGGGCTCTATGATCATGGACCTCCTATCCTTGCTACCTGCCACCCAGCTCGTCAGGTGGCTTTTGCCTGCTTCTGAAGTACTTGGAGGAAAACAATAATCCTGTGGAGCCCATCTGAATCCTAGGTTGGATCCTCATAGACCGATGTGGAAAGCACTTCGGCACCATTTTGAATTACCTCCGGGATGACACCATCACCCTCCCTCAAAACCGGCAGGAAATCAAGGAGTTGATGGCTGAAGCAAAATATTACCTCATTCAGGGGCTGGTGAACATGTGCCAAACTGCCCTGCAGGTACAGGGCAGAGCTGGGAGGCAGGGGGTATATGAGGTTGGGAGTTGCCGCCTCCTGGCAAACTGTGGAGGGGTGGTTGATGAGCCCGAACCTAGTTAGATAGAGCGAGATGCTGGCTGGGCCACACAGCCTGGCAGCCAGGTATTCCAGGTATTCAACAGTTGAATAGGCCCTGTTTCTAGTTTTTATGCCTGGATATCTGGAGTTTAGGTTTCCTGGCAATAGGGATCTGCTTGCCAGCTGGCAGTTTCTGTTGCCAGGGGCCTCGTGATCTCTATCTGATGTCTTCTCACCAAGCAGGGGGTGGGCAGAGGGGCTCCAGGGGTGTCTGGCTAAGCCTGGCAAGCAGAAGATCCCAAAGAAGGTTCTCTGCTCTGTGTGTCGCCCAGGACAAGAAGGACTCCTACCAGCCTGTGTGCAACATCCCTATCATCACATCCCTGAAGGAGGAGGAGAGGCTCATTGAATCCTCTACTAAGGTACCAGGGCCCCTGAGGGCTGTGGGCTGGGAACGCCAGGCCCTGCCTGGCCCTCACTCTCTCCTCCCTCACAGCCTGTGGTGAAGCTGCTGTACAATCGGAGCAACAACAAGTACTCCTACACCAGGTAGGGCGGGCATCTCTGGGCGCCTGCGGAGTGGACATTGGGTGGCAGACCCAAGGGAAACCACCTGCATTCCTGACATGGGTGGCGTGGGTCGGGGTCTCAGAGCCAGTTGTTGTAAGGGGAGAAGAAGAGAGAGTAGAGGGAAATCAGGGCAGAGGCATTTGGAACCTGACACAGGGCCCTGGCTGGGATACAGAGAGTTGAACATGAAATGCACCCTTGACATGTGTCATGTCAGACGAGGTGCCAGGTGTTTTCACAGGCATTATCTCACCAGGGGAGGAGGGATGTTAGGAAGCCAGTGAGCCGGGAGCCCTCCTAAGCCAGCCTTTTGTACACCACACTAGGCTGACTTCCCTTTGCACACACCCCCCGCAGTGTCCTGGACAGGCCACAGTTAGGTATACACAGGTGGCTATAGGCTCAGAGTCCCAAACCCCTTCCCCATGACTTCCTGTGACCAGGCATGTTGCCAGCATCAGCCTACAGCAAGGGAAGGAATGCCTCCTGCTGAAACAGCAGCGTGCCTCCCTCCCTCCAGGCGTAAGGAGAGGAATCCTCCTCCCTCAGTTCTCTATGCTTTCACTTTAAAACCAACCCAATTCCTTGTCCTCACAGGCCCTGAAACCCAGAGGGTGCCCCATGACTCTTGCTCTTCCTGTCCCCCTGGCATCTTGTCTTCATTTCAGCATGACGTGGGGGTGGAGGGACAGCCCAGCTGGCACTTGCACCCTCCCTTGTGCTGGAACCTCATTCCCTGACCTCATGGGTTTTTCAGCAACTCTGACGACCACTTGCTGAAGAACATCGAGCTGTTTGACAAGCTCTCCCTGCGCTTCAACGGCCGTGTGCTCTTCATCAAGGACGTCATTGGTGACGAGATCTGCTGCTGGTCCTTCTACGGCCAGGGTCGCAAGCTGGCAGAGGTGTGCTGCACCTCCATTGTATATGCCACGGAGAAGAAGCAGACCAAGGTGTGGGGGCCTCCCTCTGCGTGGGTGGGAGCAGGACACTCGCTAGCTGTGGTGGGGAGTGATCAGGCCACAACCCGTGCAACCCCGACAGCCTTTCACCACAAGGAGCAAAAGGGGCATGTGCTTGGTTCTCCTTCCCAAACATGCTGTGATGGCGCTGGACAAGGACAGAGCTCTGCTGGAGTGGAAGGAAGGGCAGTTCATCCGGGGAAAGAGTCATGTGGTGTGAAGGGTTCAGCGTGGCTGGGCTCATGTAGCACCAAGCTACTGAAGTGCCTCCAGCTGGGTGCTCTTCCGAGGGTCACAGAGGGACAGCTTACTGGAGGTGGCCCTGCTCTCTCCTGCAGTTTTGAGGGGTGGAAGGGACAGGGGCAGTTAGTGTGGTGGCTCCTGACCATATCAGCGGAGTCAGGGTTTGGGGGCTGGTTAGACTGTGGAAGTGGTAGTGACGGCAGCACCTGTCACCTTCCTAAGTGTTTTCTCTTTCAGAAACTTGACCCCTCACACCACACCCGTGAGACACGCAGGACTAGAACCATTCTCCCCATCTGACAGATGAGAGAGCAGAAGTTCCATGTGACACAGCAAGCTAGGCTAGGATCCCGGCACCCAGGTTGCCGTCCCTCTTCTCTCTCCTCCAAACTGATCATGAGAGTAGGGCACACTGGGTCAGGCAAGCTGTTTGCTCTCCAGAGCAGCTGCTTTTTATTGATATATTTGTTTGGTTGTTTACTGTTTACTCTCTACTAAGCAGTTTACATCTTTCATGTGATATTGGCAGCAACACTCCAAGGTAAATATTAGCCATCATTTTACACGTATGGAAACTGCAGCCCAGAAAGGTTGTGTAAGGCCCTGCAGTAGTAAGTGGTGGAGCTGTGATTGTACCTAGCCTGACCACAAAGCCACAACCCAGCGTCTGTGCATACTGGTCCATCAGTCTTGGACTGGGGTGGGCATGGTGAGGGTGTTGGACTTCTCTGTCCTTACATCTGTAGAGGACGTCCCCTCATACCTGCCCTCCCTAATGAGACAGCACCCTGTCTTGTGAGAAAGTTAGGAAGCCTTGTAGAGCCAGCATAGGGCAAAAACCCTGATGTGCTGCTCCCCTCTGAGTTCATACCTCACTAGGCCTTCTCGTCCCCCTCACACCAGGTGGAATTTCCAGAGGCCCGAATCTATGAGGAGACACTCAATGTCCTACTCTATGAAACCCCCCGAGTCCCTGACAACTCCTTATTGGAGGCCACAAGCCGAAGCCATAGCCAGGCTTCCCCCAGTGAAGACGAGGAAACCTTTGAACTGCGGGACCGTGTCCGTCGCATCCACGTCAAGCGCTATAGCACTTATGATGACCGGCAGCTCGGCCACCAATCTGCCCATCGCGACTGACAAGACCCTCAGGGAGTCAGAGCACAGGAAGCCCTGTCTCCCCTCCTGTGGAACCCCACCCCATTGGCCACTCCATGCTGCTGCTGGCTGGGTCTCTTACACCCCCAGAGGCATGACAGGCTCTGCCTGGGAGGTCAGGGGGCCTGAGAAGAGGGGAGACCACATTCCTTTGCCTTGTCTCCTGAGCACTTCCAGATGACTGAGTCCTGTCCTCTTTGCTCAGCCTCTCGCTGCCCAACAGGGAGCTGCTTCTGCTCTATGGTGAATGGAGTGACCTGCCCACCTGCCAAGAACATTCCCCTAGGCCCTTTGCTGAGTGCCCCTTTCCTCTGCTGAAGAGCTACTACCCCTTAGGCCTCAGCTGAAGCCCATGGGGAATGGGTTCATTCTAGGGGAAAGGTGGCTTCTGGTGCTGCGGAGGCCCAGTTTTTAAACAGAAGATGAGGCTTCTTTTTCCTAAGGTGTTTAAGTACAGGCTTGATGGGTTTGGTTTTTTTAAAAATAATCTAGGAAATGAATAGTTTAAGTCTAATAATGAGGGGACTGGGCATTTCTGTTACCCCTCCGGGATGTCAAAACCCTGCATATGACAGAACCCTTGGCCTTGCTCAATGCCCTTGGGAATCTGTTTCTTTAAAGCACTTTCTACCATTCAGGGGATTTATATTCTGCCCTGACCCACATCTTTTTCTGGTCCTAATCCCCTCTTCCCTGTAGAACAGTCTGATAAAAAGGAAGCAATAAGAAATTCCCACCAGCTCTGGCTTTGCCAGCCTGGCCAAACAGCCAGCCCGAAGACCACCAAGGAAGGAAGGATATATAAGTTGGGTCCCATGGTCCTAATCGTGTCCCTGTGAGAAAAGACATTTTGCCCCCACATAACTGACTCCAAGGGTCCAAACATGGTTGCCCTTTTTCTTTTGTCCTTGAGTGCCCTCAGCTCCAAGATATACTGTCCTCACATACTATAAAGCCAAAGAGCTGGCACAGGGGGCAGGAGCTACTTCATGCCAAAAACAGCAGCAGGAAGCCTGGAACCCAGGGGTGCCGCCTACTGCTGGCTTACGTGCCCATGAGCTGAGGACAGCCAACTCAGCCCTCTGGTCCCAGCAGCCTGTGTAGAGGTGGGCATGTGCCTGCCCCATACATCTGCTCTCCGCCCCCCCACCCCCACCCCCACCCCCAATCCACACTATTGGTTTGTGTCCTGGCTGGGGATGGTGGTTCTGCCCAGTGATGAGTCTCTGAACACAGGATGATGGGAGCAACCTAACCCACTGAAGGCCTTCATTCCTTCTTGTTGGGTAACCTGGCCACAGTGGTGCCAAGCAACCAGTCAGGGTGTGAGTTCCTCTCTAGGGATTTGGCTTGGCTCTTGGGAGGCAGCTTACGTGAATTCTTTTCCAAAGGAATGCTGTCAGGGAAAGGGCTGTTGTGCCAGCCTAACAAAGCAGCATAGCCAGGCACAGCACCCACTCTTGGGAAGGACCGTAGATATCAAGTTCATCCCTCTTGACTACTCTTAGGATAGCTAAGTGGCTGCTCACTGCTGACCCCATAGAGCCTATGGGCAAATGCCAGGCCCAGAGTTAGACTCAAGGACCTGAAATGACATGAGGGGGCAGGGGAAATGTGACTTTAATCGGGCATTTTACGTTAGTCACAGCCTTGAATGTATAAATAGCTCTAAGACTCTTAGGTCAGGTACCTTGGTGATCAGCTGCTAATTCTTCTAGCCCTCACTGGAGTAACAAGACAAATCCATTTCTTTGGCCAAATTCAGGCTTTGGCTTTGTGGCTTTCCCACAGAGACTGGAATGCTTCAGCCTGAGACCACTGGCCTATTTTCTCAGCTGCCCTCATGAAGCCCTTTAGTGCCCAAATTCCCAGCTCCCCACTGAGGTGTTTCCATGCTTGTCCTTTGATCCCAGTCCCCTTTATCCTTTACTTACTGCTTTGACATTCAGGTCCTCAGCTGTCTCGGTGGTGTCTATTCCTTCCTGAGAAAGCACAGTAGTCTGGGACTAGACATTTATCTTGGAAAGTATCTCCTTGGTCTTAAGGAAAATACTAACACTGAACTTACTGAAGTGATCTTAGCTTCTTTAATCAGACTTTGTGGCTTAAAAGCTTGGGGAACTTTCTTTGAAAGTTTCCCAGCCTCATTCAAAAAGCAGCTCTCAGCTGTATGAATTTTTCAACTCCAAGCAGCCCAGGGGGAAGTAAACAAAAAAGTTTGGGTGAAAGTCAAAACTTCCTGTCAGTTCCTGAGAAAACTGGAAGCCTGCTGTTAACAACACAGACCAGTACTGGGTTTTATTGAATTTGACACGTGGCCAAGGTCTGCCTGAAGAATAGCCCAGGTCCTGGCATGAGAATTTTTCCTTTATCACGTTAACTGCAATACTTTGTTGCTCAGTATAAGTGATGGAAGTAAACACTAATTTCTAATAAAATCGTGTTACACTGCATTGGTGCAGAGCCGTGTTTACAGTGAGCAGAGCTCAGCCAGCTCTCTGCTGTGGATTTAGTTCTTGTATTTCTGCTCTCCACCTGACCTCTGTTCTGGCTAAGTCATAAGACGCTGTACTCAGTTGCCCTGCAACCCAAGCTCCCCCTGGTGGAGGATTAAGGACAACACTAACAAGGGCTGGAACTGAGATTTAATATTAATTCAAGAAAAAAATGACTTCTAACAATCACTGCAGTGATGGGCAAGAAAGAATCCTAAGAACTGGGGCAAAATGCAGCACAATTCATCTCTGGCTGTTGGAGATCTGAAAGAAGCTCAGGTTTAGTCACTGTCCATACCTAAAGCTGCTGCTCAGCTGAATTCCTGCATTTGTGGTCTGGATGCTTGACTGACTCATGCTCATGGCTGGCAAGACCAGAGGAAACCCGACTGGCTTGCCTCACTCCTCTCTCAGGCCTGGGGGCCAGAGATCCCAATGTTTGGTCAGTGCCAGGAGCCGGACCACTCCAACCCTGGCGTCCCTCTGTGCACTTGGCAGAGAGTAAAAAAGAGAACAAGAGTCCACTCCACCAGCTGAGAGGCACAGTGACCCTGGGAGATGTCCATCCAGCCTCCAGCCTCAGAGGGAAACACACACACCCTAGCAGAGGGGCAGCTCCCTGGAAGGGGAGCACAGAAAACAAAGGCCCCCAATGGTTCAGACAGGGAGCCTGAGACCATGGGAGCACAGATGGTGAGGGTGGCCAAGCGTGCACTGGTTTATTGACCTCATATTCCAGACAACTTGTGTGACAGGCCAGGAAACTCCTCCAGGCCTGCAGCAGCTGAACACGATGTAGGCAGGGCTAATGAGGAAGGCAGCCTTGGATGAGTCCTATATGGGTCTTCTGAAGAAAACAGTTATACCACCCCCCAAAAAAAGAACCCCACAATCAAGTGGCACAACTGATTAAGAGACCCATTGTGGCCCGTGATGGGGAGAGAAAGAGTTCTGCAGCAATTGTTGGATGAGAGCTGTTCTTCTCAGGGGCTGCACCTGGGCCCTCAGGGTCGCAGCTGGCCTACCAGTGAAGGCCTGAGGGTGGTGTCTTCTCATCTTTATTGCTTTCCAGGGAGAAGGGAGGGATCCGGACATCAAAGTGGGAGCCATCAGGTCTCTCAAAGCGGAACGTGCCCCTGTGGGTCAGAGAGAAGCTGGCTTAGAGGGAGGCAGGGCTGAGGCCCTCCTGAGGATCTGGACAGCCCCATCCCCTCAGCTCCAGAGCTCATGACAAGATGTCTGGTCCAGAGCCCCTCAAGCCCCTCTTGGCCCTACATGAAAAGAAGAAACACAGCTGTCCAGATTCTGGCATTTAGATGCACACTGCATAAGCTACCCAAGTGTACTTTCCAAGGTTAAGGAGTGAAACACCAGGGGAAAAAACCCAACCACATGAGCAATTCAGTGCAGCATCAAATCACTGGACCTCTTTGACGTAAGTCCTCAGTCCACAAACCATAGGGAACTGGGAAACAGTCATAAAGAACCAGACCTAAGTCCCACACAACAATGAACAGCAGATAAGTTTCCACCTCAGGACTTAACGTAGCCCAGAGTTAAATGCAAGCTATGAACTTGCTATGAGCTCTCACTTTTCTGACCTGCCCCAGCACACGCTCACTTACCACATGTGCCCACTAGAAGCTTGCAGGGAGACATGGCTACTATACTGGAATGCAGGCTGCTCCTTGGATAACACTGGTTCCTGTAAGGGTTCAGGCAAGATGGATTAGGCCAAGCCCCAGGGACACGTTCTCTGAACTCCAGGGCCACAAGCTGACTGCCCATTCACCAGGACTGGATGCCCCCAGCCCACACCCCAGCAACCACTGCAGCATGCACTCCTGCAATGACTGCCTGCAGTAACTCATCCCACAGCATGGCCATTGGCCTGAGCCTTTTATTTTGACTCTGAAAGATCATCTCAGACTTAATGCCTGAGGGCACCAGGCAAAGACACTGGGCACAGGACTTACTCTAAATATTCCTTCCAGTGTTCATTCATGAGTGCTAAGTGCCAGGCACCATGGCAGGTATTCTGCAAAACCTTGCTGATTTAATTCTCCTAAGCAATCAAAAGGTAATAGGTGTGATTTTAGCACTAACAGATTTTGGTTAAATAGCTTGCCCAAAGTTATGCAGTGAGTAAGTAACACAGCTGGAATTTGAAGCCAGACTATTTAACTTCAAAGCCCTGTTCGTATTCACTTTACCTCCCTGCTTCTCCAACTCCCTGCTGCCTTGGATAAATGCTTGTTGAATGTGGCCCTAGGCACCAGTACTACTTGTGACTATTTCTCAGGAGACAGAGTGTGGTAGGCAGCAATTGCAAAATCAAAACTCTTTGAAGACCAGCGGAAGATGTACAGTGTGAAGAGACAGAGGCAAGACACTTGGGAATGGTAGGGGTGCGTGCCCCACCTAAGGGCACTCAGTTTCAGGGTTTTAAAAGACATTATGCCAGTCAATGAAAACTACACAGGCTCTGATTTCATATTCACCTAGATTTAAATCCAGACCCTGCCACTACTAGCTATGGAACCATGGTCTAGTTACTTAACATTTCAGTCTCTCTTCATCTGTGAAATGCATTGTAAGGAACTTATCTCACAGGGTTGTTATAAGATTTCTAACCCAAAACAACCCAATATGTTCACATGGTGAGCCTCTATCTGTAACCAGAGAGAAGGAGGAAACCATGCACTAAGCCCCCAGACCTGCTAGGCAGGACCAGAAACTGGACATTCTTGGCCCAATGATGCTCACCCTGCCTACCACCCCTCGGCCTCGCACTGTCTCCAAGGTGCCAGAGAGGCTGAATATCCTCCAGTGCCGCTCTCGGAGCTGTACCACATCACTGTCGAGGTTCTCCAAGCGGATACAGTAGCGCCACTGTGGGGGTGTGGGGGACAGAGTCCATGTTTGAGAAAGAATAGACCTTGGGCTAACTAACCCCGAATTCTGCAGAGAGCAAAAGGCAGCAAAGGCTGACCCAGGCTCCACCCTCACCCCAGGTAAATCCCACCCCAGGTAAATCTCCCCACCTGACCCCCAGGCACACCTCCTGAGCGCCCCTCCTCTCCTGAGGGAAACACTCACCCAGTAGACATGGGAATTCTGGGCTTCCTGGAGGAAAAACACAAAGAATTTAAGTTCCTGAGGGCAAGACCAAGTCTATTCCAATCAACATCTCTCCAATGGAGATGTGTTCCAGGAAGGCTGCAGAAACAGACCAACCTATTTCAGTGGGATGATGACGATGACTGAACTATGGCCAACAAGGCCACAGGGAGGCAGCCTCCCTTGTGTCCATGCCTGACCTCCCTCCTCCCCATCCTGTCAAGATTGGCTACAGAGCTGGATGCCAGCAGAAACCAGCTGCAGGGCTCTTACTTTTCTCACAACCCTCCTTGTCAGCCCCGCCCCCATCACAGCTGGCCCAGGCCCCTGTCCTTCTCCGCCTCCCACATCCCTCTCCTACTGCAATACTTTGTATGTTATATGTTAGCCTCCCCCACTACCATGAGCTCCTGGAAGACAGGGACAGTATTTCATCTATAGCTGTATCCCCAGGGCCTAGCTTATAGACAGACAAGAAGCAGCTTAATAAATGTGTGTATGGGAAGTGTGAAGCTCAGCCTACAGTTTTGAACAAGTATGTGTATATTCTTCATAAACTTCATAAATGGCTCCCTTTGAGCAGGAGGGAAGAAGGAAGAGTCAGCACAGAAGACTCCTTCCTGGGACCTGTAGGTTTTCCTGCTCTAGGCCTTGGTGCCAGCCACTGCCAAGAAGCTCGACCCCACCCATCATGCAGCACTTGGGAGCAGAACCACAGGGACATGATTTAAATTTAGACACCACCCCAACAGTCACACTGGGCACACCAAACACAGTCTGAAGCCTAGCCCTATAGGAAGGGGCCCAGGCTGGACATATACCCTCATGCCCATGTAGAAGGGGATGACGGTGACACGGATGTTCTCCGTTGTCTCCCGGTGGACATCGGAAAGCTCCAGCCAGGGGTGATTCTTCTCTTGCCAGGCCCGTAGAGTCTCTCGAGCCACAAAAGGGGGTGCTAGGGCAACAGACAACTGGTTAGTCCAGGCCACAGTCCAGGGCGTTGTACCCACTCTCCAACTGCCCCTCCTAGAAAACTGTTCCCAGTGGGGGCCCCAGGCAAACAGGACACCAACACATGAAGCAAACATACAGGCTGGAAAAAGGCAAGCTGCTCACAAGAGTAAGCCCTGAAGAAGTAGGCAATATCGTGGGAAGAGAACTGAACTGGGAGTTAAGGGCCCTGGTTTTCAGACCTCGCTCTGCTCCTAGCTAGCAACCTTGAGTCACTTTTCATCATCCCTGAGCCTCAGTTTCCATATCTGTAAGGAGATGATAGCCATCAACCTGACAGGTCTAATAGGAGGCTGAAAAGGGTTGCAGAAGGAGAGCTTTGGAATTATTTCTATGATATTCTCTTTGAAGAAAGGGCTCTCCCATTCCAGCTCCCTTCTTGAGAGAGATTACCTTTTGTCTGGTCATACAGAAGAAATCTTTCAAAGAGCTCATGTTGGATGGGAACCTGATCAGTGGAGGTATAGGGGAGGATGTCTTCATGGCTGACATAGTCCAGGCCTGGCACAGAGAGGAAAAGACACTGAAACCCACACAGAAGAGGAGAAAAACGGGGCTGAGAAGAAACATTTCCTGGCCCTGTCCCAGTGTGGGACGACCCTAGCACCATACCTCTCGGCATCATAATCCCTCCCAGCAGATGACAGGACATTAGAATCCTTTCCCTGAGTCTTGACAGGCACCATTCAGATGCTAACTACTTACCTGGGATGGCATAAAGGGCCCGGCTGTCATCGTGGTTAGCCAGGAAGGTCACAGCTTCTGTCTGAGATCTCTGAGACTAAGACAAGAAGTGAGTCAGGGGCTTTCTTAGCCACAGTCCAGTCCCAAGGCCATGGGGCCCAAGGCTAATCTGGGCTCTGTTTAACCCCTCTCCCTCCCTCGTCCTCATTGGGGCACAGGCCTTTCCCTCCTGTGGAGAGGCCCTCCAGGCCCAGGCATCTTGCTTACTTACTATATGTGGGCAGTCACGGGCATCAATCAGCACCTGATAGTAAGTGTGAGTTTTGCCTTTCACCTCCTTAGAGCCATGGCCAGCAGGGTTCTCTGTTCTGTGGGGTGTGATAAACCCAAGATCACCCTGAGAGAAATGGAAGCTGTGCCTGACTCAACTCCCTACCACCTCCTCATCTAAGCAGACTGGTCCCTGATTGGAAGGGGCATTCGCACTGGCTGGGCACCTGCTCAGCAACACCCCAGCCCAGCTGCTCAGTCAGAGGCAAACAATGGAGCATGGGGGACCCATGGCACAGAGTCATCATTTGTCTTACTCTCTGGATGCCTCTGGGAAGAAGGGTTGAGAAAATCAAATTGCCACCTTGGTCCTCAGGGCCCAGTGTACCCTCCTCTTCTCACATCCCAGGGGCTGTCTGCAATCATTTAGTGGAGCTGGACCTTTTCTTTTTTAATGTTCTCTAGTAATGATGTGAGATGAAGGGAAAGATTCCAACTGAACATCAAGAAATCAAGAAGACTGGTCCCCCAAATGCCCTCTGGGGTATTACAATGAAAACTGAGAGTAGTCTGGGAGAGCATTCTGGGAAGGCCTAAAGGGACGCTCTGTCTTAAGACTGTCCCTGGCACTCAACACTTTTGTCTCCATGGATGTTAGTGCCAGAGAAGTACTCTGGGGCTGCTTCTAAGGCCCAGGAGGATGCTGTCTTCACCCCAGGGACCCCAATTACATATGCCTGCCATGAGCCAGGCCTCTTCCTGAGAACACTGCGAGACACGACAGGGAAACTTACTTTTCCGGAGCTGCAGAAGCCACATCCCGGTCATACAGTCTGGCCTGCCAGGGAAAGAGGACGACACCTCGGTAGCCAAAAACACTATGTAGGAAAAGCTGGGAGGAAAGAGAGGCTTCAGTGAGTCTGCAGTCTACCAAATCCATCCAGGTGGGCCCCAAACTACAAAGCAGCAGAGGTGAAGGCAACTCCAGCACAAGGTCTTGCCACCTTTTCCCTTGAAATCCGTGATCAGCCCAGACCAACTCTGGAACACTCTTATCCCTCTTTACCTGGCTAATTCTACTCATCCTTTAGGTCACAGCCTTGGCCTCCAGGAAACCTTCCTTGACCTCCCCAAAATTTAGCACAGTGTATAGCCATTGACCATTTGCACATCACTAATTCCTTTCTAGACTGTAAACTCCATGAAGGCTGGAATCAGGTCCACCTTACTTTCTGATTTAACCCTAGTGAACAAAGCCTGGTCCACTGTAGGCAAACCAAAAAACTATATACAGAATAAACGAAAAGTCTTCTTTACTTACAAGGGGCCTAAATCTATCCCAGTGGACCTGGAACAAAGATGATGCAGAAAAAGAGCCTCACGCCCAGATTTTACCACACTGTTATTAGTTTTACCATGATAAAGCATCAAAGGTGTACTTTTCTGAAAGCTCCCTCCACTGGCTTCGCACCACTCACTATGTTAGAAGAATCTTCAGCAACTTGGCTTTCTCTTCCCTATAGTCCAGACCATCCCCGGCCACACTAACTTGGAAAGAGAACCCACTGACACATTAAACGCATTCAAATCCAAGAAAACAGAAATCCCATCTTAAAAATTTGTGATTCTGGTCTGGCACCAAACATCAAGGTAGAATGAATAGAGAACCATACCATTCAGGCCTGCGACCAAATCTGACTCCTTTAAGAAGTGAAGCACTCCATGAAAACAAACGACGACCCAGCCCTATACTCACCTGCCCAGTCTCATATTTTCCGTTCTGTTTTGGCACCTCAAACACACCAACCGTCTCTAACACTTTGCCCTCTGGTCGGTTTCTGAGTAGGAAGGAAAAAAAACAAGCAACTGAAAAGCTGAGACAGTAATGGTACTTATCCATCAGAAAAAGCCACGAGGATACAGAGGGCCAGCGCAATGACAGCAGAGAAGGGCTGGGGCAGTGTGGCCGTCTACAGCAGGTGAGGGCTTTGCCAAGCCACCACATCACAGAGCTGTTGCCTTTCCTCCTTTGAGATCCAGCCACAGCCCCTCCTCAGTAAAAAAAAAAACTCCCCAGTCTCCCAGTGTTAGGTATGATTACTCCCAGATCATTTTCTTCTCTCTTCATTCGGCATTCCTCATATCAAGCCCTCATACCCCGCTTACCCATTGCCCCCATTTCTTTCCTAACCCACCCTTCTGATCTCCCACAGCATTTTAACTGTCCTTCCCACTTTGATTTTCAGTTATTTGTGACTGTGTCTTATCTCCATAGACTCTAAGTTCCCTGACAGCAACACCTGTATCTGATTCACTTGTGCTGCCCCTCAGAGAATAATGCATAAAAAGTGCTCCAAAAATATTTGTTGTGGATTATAATTCCCTGCCCATATCCCCCTCTATAGACCTTACACTGCTCTTGAAGGGCTTAATCATCTCTAGATTTCCTACTGTACCCCCTGCTTTACATAAACCTAGTCCCTGAATATTATTTTTGTTCAGATCCACATCACAGGGGTCTTGAATTGCAACGGATTTTCATCTTTCTCCCCAATAGCAGTGTTTAATCTCAGCCACTAAAAGGTCAGCTCTGTCAGATACCTGTCTGAACAGGGCTGCTCTTTCTTGGGGCCCTTCAAAGAACTGTTATTTTTACTATTTTGGAGATGTGAACCTTATGCTTCCTCCCACTGATTCCTGGCCCCAATTTGATCTGCCTATCCCGTCCACAGAGACACTGTTCACACCATCCCCACGGCCTCAAACCCCCTTGCCCAAGTCAGAGAGAAAACAGGTCTTTCCAAGGTCGCAGTGAAACCTGGAATCCACGAGGGCCCACGCTCAAGAGTCTTGTTTCCCACCTCTAGCATCTTTCTGAGAGAGGCCCTGACCCAATTTAGAGGCTGGGCATTCAAGTCAAAGGCCCTAGAGCTAAATGAAAGGCTGCCCACCAACAGCGGTGCTGGGGACCCCAGCCGGGGCAGTAGGTTCCGCTCGGGGAGGGTTACTAGCTCCCCCTCAGCGCCAGCCCTGCACAGCCAGGGCTCTGGGCCGCGCTCCCTTCCCTGCTCCTGGCACCCGTCCCGGGCAGCGCAGGGAAGGGCCCTCCAGTCACCCGGCGCCGGCCCCGCCTCCCGGCCTCCTCACTGGCGGGGAACACGCTCCCTGGGCTCCGGGACGGGACCCTGCGCCCCCTCGTTGTCCCTCACCGGGACGAGAGGTGCCTCCGCGTCGTCGTAGTCGCCGCTGGCGGGAAGGCCCGGGCTCCACCCGCCGCACACAGCGGCCTCGGCCCCCGAGCCCCGGTCAGCGACCGGGACCACCTCAATCTGCATAAGAAAAACAAGCCCTTGTTTGCTTAAGCCACTGAGAATTGATATTTGTGTTACTTCCTGCTGAATATATTCCTAACTGATAAATCAAATAAAGGGATTATCTTAGAATCCACTGAACATACCATACTTCAATATTCTTAACAAATCATCACAAATAAGACATTTTTCTCCCAAATGTGCCTCAAACACTTCTGAATTCATAAACCTTTTTAGAATTTCCCTGACACAGAATTTCCTCTGCTGACACAGAGCCCGACCCGCGGCCGGGCGGCTCCCCGCCCCCGCCCCACACTGCCCCGCGCGCGTCCCCGCCCCCTCGGCCCTCGGCCCCGCAAGCCCCCAGCTACTTCCGGCGCACGGCGAGCGGAAGTCCGAGTTCGAGGTCACCTGATTGAAGAGTCGGCTAGACATGGCGTCCTTCTTGCTCGCGGGCGAGCGACTGGTGCGCGCTTTGGGGCCTGGCGGGGAGCTGGAGCCAGAGCAGCTACCCCGAAAGCTGCGGGCCGAGCTCGAGGCCGTGCTGGGGAAGAAGCACACGGGCGGCGATAGCCCCAGTGGCCCCCGACGCTTGGTTTCCTTCCGTCTGATCCGGGGTCTGCATCAGCACCTGAGAGAAAGGGGTGAGCCCCAGGCTCTGGTCCGGGGTCGCCTCCGTGTTTCCCGATCTACTCCCTCCTAAGGTCTTTTTCCATCACTCTTCTTCGCCCGCGGAGCACTCATCTGTCCAATCGAGTGTCACCTCATAAACCCTAGGGCCACCCGCTCCTTTCTTAAATCCCGTGGGAACTCCTCGTGGATGACAAAACTTGTGCAGTTTCTGCTCTCTTGAGTCCCCCTCTTCACTTCCAGGCACACGTAGGTCCACCTGACCCTTGAGGAAGTTCAGGTTATAACCCAATGCCATCTTACAGGTTCGGTTTCTTCCTTTTTAGCCACATAAGGAAAGAACTTAGCATAGCGAGTTTGTCCTGTTTGCAAATATGGATTTCTTTTCATCTTAAAAGCAAGAGTGGTGAAATCCGATACTTATTTTTTGAGATAGGATATGGAAAGCTGTGTTGAAAGATCTGGACTGGGAGTAGCATCTGCGTTCAAATCCTAGTTCTGTCGCTAACTCTCCTCGAAGGAGTCATTTTTCCTCCCCGGGCCTAGTTCCTTTATCTGTAAAAAGAGGGAATAGGATAAACTAGCGTGTAAGGTATTTTGCCACAATCAAAGTAGCCTAGCAAGAAGTGCAAAGGGTAGAGTGTTCAATTACTAGAACTAAAAAGGGACTTAGAGATTATCAGTATAGTGTTCTCAGTATTTAGCATCACTGTGGCTTAAACCTATTGAGGGCAGATCTGTTGTGGCCACAGAAATGACCTAACCCAAAAGTAAATGTAGATGGCTTGTGTGTTCATTGTAACATTAGTAGGATAATTGAGAGATGACAAAGTCAGCCCTGCAGCACTATGAGATACTTATGTTGTCCTAGGTTCCTATCAATTGAAAATGATCCTGTAGATGGATTATATAATGATGGCCATGTTTCATTTTGGTAGAGAGATGGGCTAGACCCTTCTGTGATCTTAATCCTTCAACTTCAACTCTATAGATAACTAAGTTTGTGGATACCTTTTCTTCCCAGATTCTACACTGTACCTTCATGAGCTCCTAGAAGGCAGTGAAATCTATCTCCCAGAGGTTGTGAAGCCTCCCCGGGTATGTAAGGGATATATTTATGAGAGTAGGTATTGGCCGAGTTGGACTTATTCGTGATACGTCAAATTTATGAATCAAGTTTTTGGCTTGAAATTTTGTCTATTAGATCTTTGGGATCTGGGATGGGGGTACCAGATATTGTCCTCCCTATTTGACAGCTTGGAAAACTGAGATCCAAAAAAAAGCACTGGAGGTATATGGTTCTCCTGGCACCCTTAGCAGTGCTTTGCCCTCTAGAACCAGTGATTGTAACATACTGTCTAGCAAGCTGGGAACATCATGTGCTTCTCATTTGATTTTTCTGCTTCAGAACCCAGAGCTGGTTGCCCGGCTAGAGAAGATTAAGATACAGCTGGCCAATGAGGAATATAAGCGGATCACCCGCAATGTCACCTGTCAGGTAACAGCCTGTTCTTCAATACATGGACTGAGTAGCGCCCCCCCCCCCTTTTTTTTAAAGATGACTGGTAAGGGGATCTTAACCTTTGACTTGGTGTTGTCAGCATCACGCTCTCCCAAGTGAGTTAACCAGCCATCCCTATATAGGGATCCGAACCTGTGGCCTTAGTGTTATCAGCACCGCACTCTCCCAAGTGAGCCATGGGCCGGCCCTTTGTTTGTGTACTATTAAGGAATCATAGGAGCTCGGTGCTACATACAAACTAAATACAATTCTCAACTCATTCACTTAGACTCTGGCCTTAGATGGTGAGCTATTCTTAAACGTTGTAGAGATAAACCTTGGAGCCTTTCTTCTGAAAGGGCTGTTTACTATTCTTTGGCATGCTTATGCTCTGGAACAGGAGAGGAGTAGGTGGGTACTGGGAGCCTATGTCCTCTCTCCGAAATGCTTGCTCTGTGGTCCAGAAAATAGTTAAAACCGGTCCTAAACAAAAGAATCCATGGAGAAGATAGAGTTAATGGATTGGGGAATAGGGAGGGCTGAGGCCGTACTAAAAATGGGTGAACTCTGGGCTACCTCTGAGCTGCTTCCATTCTGAAATCATCTGCTTTTCCTTTTTCCCAGGATTCAAGGCATGGTGGAACTCTCAATGACCTGGGAAAGCAAGGTGAGATACTAGGAAACCTGGCTGCTAATACCTCTCCCTAGAATGAGTTGGTGTTCCTTCTCACCGCAGTGGCCTGGGTTAAAGGCTGAGCTATTCAGGCTTGCTATTTGAGGGGAACCCAGTTGATGGGGGAGGCAGTCATGAGATTAGAGGGCCTCTTGGAGAATGCTGACCAAAAGGTTTCTTCTCTGGGCTCCTCCCCAAAGTGAGGTCAGTGAAGGCTCTGGTCATCACCATCTTCAACTTCATTGTCACGGTGGCAGCTGCCTTCGTCTGCACTTACCTTGGAAGCCAGTATATCTTCACAGAAATAGCCTCGGTGAGTAGGCACTGGGCAGAGCAAGTCACCCCAGGTGGGGGTATTAGTGGGAAAGTGATGAAAGTGCCTTGCACGGGTTAGATATTGAACTGATATTTATGCAGTAAACAAGGAGGGCATTTGAGCTCTCCAACAGTTAGGGAAGTGGGTGATAACCCCCAAAAATGCCAGATCCTCTTTTCTTCTCCTCCACCAACTTAGGGGTTGGGTTGGGGGTTATCCATCCTCATTAGAAGTTCTGGGGACTGCAGAGTTGGGTGTTAGTCTGCATGCCCTCAGCCTCGTTCTTCCCTTCCCCAGCGGGTGCTGGCTGCATTGATCGTCGCCTCAGTGGTGGGTCTGGCCGAGCTGTATGTCATGGTGCGGGCGATGGAAGGCGAGTTGGGAGAGTTATAACTGGTGCTTCATCATCAAAGTCTGGAGTAGGTCTTGGGGGCTCCAGGCTCCCAACTGCAAATCACTGACTCTCACAGTCAACCCATCAGGCTCTTTGTACTCAGTCTAGTTACTCAGAGGAACAGCCAGGCCATCTGCTTCCCACCTGGAGCCCATCCTCTGTGAATTTCCAAAGGGAGCAATGGAGGAGATTCAGACAAGAACACATCTTTAAAACTGAAAGAACTGGTCTGTCAGTACCTTCTCCCCAACGTGCTGCTCATCTGACTTCTCCAGTCCATTCTGGGCATTGCTGGGGCTGAGGTTTTTCCATCGCTAGTAAATGGAATCTGGGCCTTCCCGTAAGTAGACCATACTCCCTTGAACTTATCCAAGGGCACAAATTGATTGCCATCCTTTGTCCACACATCTTTGATGCAGACCTGTAATTGAGATCAGAAACCTCCAAGAAAGCAGAAAGGATCCTTTTTTTGCAGTTTGTGCTGGAAGAGGGACTGATCAGAGAACAGACATCACATAAGAGAAAGATCGGTTGGTATGGGATGGTGGAACTGCAAGCAAGGCATCTATTTTTTTGGAAAAGGAAATGTTGTTAGGCCCCTTTTCCAGAAGACAAAATAGATTGAGAGAGATCAGATGACCAGCTGTGGTCCTTCCTCTGTTAAGTGGAGCCAGACTCCTGTGTTGTCCTGTAGTCTCTGTGTAATGTTAAGCTTCTGAGAACATAGATTATCAATGTGATGGTAGAATCTGTATTAGGCACTTAAAAGGGTATCATCTTTAGTTTTTGTGTGTGTGTTTTCCGTGGTTTACAGAAATTTATTACAATTAAAAGATAATTAGTCTTCTATCCCGTGAGCATCTATCCAGCTGCCTTTCAATGGGTAAGCTGTCTTAGTTATTTATCCAATAAATATTTATTGTATCTGGTGTACTCTTATTTCAAAGCCTATGACAAATAACACAAAGTACAAAGATTTCTGGAGTTCTGAGAATTATTCAGGGTCTGCTCCTAATGTTGGACTCTATCTTTCTGTTTATTCACTGTACACACTCCTGTGGTCTTTTTTGTTGTTGTTTCCCCAAAAGTACTTTTCTTATAAATTATGTACTAATTGGCTCAGTAGGCATTTTCTCTGTGAGTTAGGGGAAGTATCCACTGTGAGAAGAAAATATAGGTGGCATTTTACAGTGTTCTTTGTGACCTGATCTGATTAAGATTGGTTTTAAAAGCTACAGTGAAGGGCCGGCCCCGTGGCTCACTCGGGAGAGTGAGGCGCTGGTAGTGCCAAGGCCACGGGTTTGGACCCTATCACTGGCTGTGCATGGTGCAGACAACACCGTGCCGAGGGTTGCAATCCCCTTACCGGTCAGGGGAAAAAAAAAAAAAAGCTACACTGAAGCTTTGTGGAGATTCATGGCTGTACTTACCTGTGTCTGCAGTCTGTGGGCCAGGCTGTCCACATATCCTTAAGCTTCCATATCCCCCAGGAACCTGGATGTAGGTTGGAAGACTTCAAAATGTTAGATAAAGAACAGGCCTCCTCCAACAGATTCTGACCCAAGGGTATCTCATGATGAAATTGGAGTCATTCTGTCCTCCCCTCACCATTTGTTAGGATGGGATCTCCACCAGTTCCCAACCCCCTACTCAAAAGCAAATAGGCTTTTGTGGCCTTGCGCACTTACTGAGAGCTGCTTTATGGGCCAGGCACTGTGCTAGCTTCTGGGGATGGAGGGAAAAGACCTAGTTCCTGCCCAGTGAGTAATGAGGAAATGGCCACTGTGCAAAGGCAGAGTTAGAAACAGCCATGAGGGGCCGGCCCGGTGGCGCACTAGAGAGTGCGCCGCTTGGGAGCGCGGTAGCGCTCCCGCCCAGGGTTTGGATCCCATGTGGAGACCGGTTCCCGCTCACTGGCTGAGCAAGGTGCGGGCGCGACACCAAGGGTTGCGATCCCGTTGCCGGTTGCCGGTCCCCGGTACGGGCGCGACACCGAGGGTTGCGATCCCGTTGCCAGTCAGTAAAAAAGACAAAAAGAAAAAAAAAAAGAAACAGCCATGAGGTGGCCTGTCCTCTAGTTCTTGGCACAAAGAAGGGAGCTCTGTCTTCTCTCAGCCGCTTCCTCTGTTTCACCATACCATGCTTTCTCCAGTGCACTCTGGTCCAGGAAGTGCTTGGCAGGTCAGAGGAATAAGAATTTGAGGCCTTCCCAGTTCCTCAAAGGCCTTCCCAGTTCCCTGGAGAGGGAGAGGCAACTAACATTTATTGAGTTTTCACAGTGTGTCACACACCAAGTGAAGCTCTTTACTTACATTATTTCTCATTACCCAAGTGGAGAGGAAACAAGTATTATCTATCATCCACACTTTTCAGGCACATAGAGTTTCAGACAGTTGCCATGGGTACATAACAGTCAGGATTTGAATCCAGTGCACACCAATCCATGCTTTTCCCTCTGAAGCCGAGCAGCTCCAGAAGTGGAGGCAACTGGAATGTCCTGGAATCTGTGGGACCAGGAACAGGGGGTGCCAGTGGAGGCTTCCTTCTCCCAGGGCCTGTCAGTCAGAGTCCTAAGCCTTCCAATTAACTATCCCTCTAACTAATCCTAGCAGAAGCCTGGTAATACCTCCCACCCAGAATCTGTGGAACCTGGCCCTATTTAGGGATTAGGTGATGGAGATAAATTTCCAAAGCAAACAGCCCTTGTCCCCATTCATTTGCAGCACACAACAATCCAGATTAAGGTACAGAGTTTGGGTTTTATTTGGAGATTAGTTGGTATTACAGATGACAGTGATACCAAAACCCAGTGCTGTTGCACCCCCCTCCACCTCAAATCTGCCAGGTTGTCTGAGAGGGCAGCCAAGCTGATCTTTGGGAAAATTAAATCAACATAAGCCCCGGGCTCCTATTTCTACTTTATTACTTTAATATCACTCCCTCTTCAGATCCACAGTTCTGATTAATTTGTCCAGGTGGTAGGAGGTCAGGAGAGGGGGCCCTGCAACATAAAAGGGTAGGCCTCCAGCATCTAGATTAGAAGCAGCACTCTCCGCTCCTAGCTCACTTAGCAGTTAGGCAATGGTCTGAAAGGCCCTCAGGAGACAGGTGGCTGCCCCCTCAGAGGGAGGAGGTTGTCAAGGTGAGAAGAATTGGGGACCAGGCCTGGCAGGAGAGGTGGAAGGCAAGGCCCACTACCTCATCCTTCTGAAGATACCTCCTGCCAAGACAATGGGCATATGCCCCAGGAGGAACTAGGGTGCTTGGCAGCAGGCGCCAGGCCCCAGTCACTGCATAGAACCTGCATCTAGGCTGGCCTGATGGCCAGTGGAAGGGAGGGATCCCTGAGCTAAACTCCCTCCTGTAAGAGAACTCCCTTGTATAAAAGGAGGGGGCAGGGAATCCACATTTGATGTGTTCAGTCCTAGGAGGGGCAGGGTGGGCTGCAGGAGCCAGAGGAAGGGTCTTGCAAATTCTGGACCTAGATTAGGAGTGATCCACGTTGGTGACAATGGCCGAGGCATAGATGAGGTCAGACAGGCTGCTGAGTGAGGTCTGGGGAGCACCTCGCTCCAAAGAAGGGTGGACTCCTGAAGCCCTGGCTGGTCCCCTTGGGGTTGCAGCTTTAGCCCCTGGCCAGCCCTGCCCTGGGCCCAAGCTAGGAGCTGGACAGGAGGCATGTCGGCATGCTGAGGCGCGCTGAAGGGTGCTGGTGGAGGGCGGGTGCTGGCCCAGCACTCGGGGCTCCCAGGGCTGCTGGAGGGTGTCTGGAAGAGAACAGGAGCTCTTGGGGGCCTCAGGCCTGGGGCTGAGGCCTCCTGGCTTCCTGTTCTTGATTCTTTTGGCCCGGCGGTTCTGGAACCACACCTGATAAGAAAGAAGAAGGGGTCTGTTCTGGTTCCAGCACCCTTTCCCCCCAGAGACAAGGAAAACAGACCCTGAAGGCAGGATACCCAAAGAGAAGGGACTGTGGGTAGAGCCCAGAAGATGGCTGAGTGAGAGTACCCTGTCCTGAGAGAGTATATACAGCTCACCTGTATCTTGGCCTCAGGAAGGCTGGTGACTTGGGCCAGGTGCTCACGGGTGCCAATGTCAGGATAGGGCCGTGCTGCAAACACCCTCTCCAACTCCAGCAGCTGTCCTCTGCTGAAGGTGGTGCGCTTTCTCCGGTGGGGACCCAACCCACTGGCACGGCCTGTGGGCCAGAATGGGGGTCAAGCCAAGACTCCCTGCAAAAGCCTCCCCCCAGCCTCAAAGCCCTCAACAGACCCTGAAGCCCCTACTTGCCCCTCACAAACCTTTCCCCTTCCCACCCTGCACCACATTCCTCACCCTGCCCACCCCTTCCCCATCAGACCACCTGCTGGAGAGGTATCCACAGGGCTGGCCATGGAGCTGGCAGAGGGTGAGGAGCCAGACGACCATGCCAGGGCTGTAGCCACATCACACCCCTCCATTTAGGGTTTTATCCTGCTCAGAGTAGCTGGCTCCGCCTCCAGGAGGGAGAGGTTTAGAGTCCAGCTTGAGCAAGGCGGAGGAGTCCTGGGGGAAAGAGGGGAGGCCAGGGGTAGGGTTGGGGCTTACTGGGGTAGGGTGGGGCAAGTTTTGTGGCCCCTGCCCCTCCAAGGCCTCACAAAGGAAGCTGGTCCCAACCTTCCTCCTCAAACCTCAAACTCTGGCAATCAGTGCCTGAAATCCTGTACTTCATGAAAATTCTCCCTGGGCTCCTTCCAGAAAACTAAAGAGATCTGTCTCTCCAATGCTCCCAGGGTTTCAACTGCCGTCCTCAGTGCCCTGGTCCTGGCTGCCTTCAGGGGAGAGTGGGTGGAGTCCTATACAAATAAGGACTGAGCTAGTGAAGCTGGGCAGGATGTAAAGGAGGATAGGGGGATAGCAGAGGAGCCACCTGCTCTCAGCAGGGCTGGGGAACAGATGTCACCACCAGATGTCCCTCAGATCTGCTTTTGAGCTTTGGCTGCATCTAACCCTTTCTCTCTGGCCCCTCAAAAGCCACATGAGCTTCCTGGAGTCCAGGAACCTGGAATCAGAGGAGGTTCCACAGGTGCAATTGAGCAGATTTAAGAAAAATATTTATTTTTACAGTGTTTTCTTCCTTGGAAGTCTCTGGGCCACCTTTCTAAAAGGGGGTGCATTTGAATTTCCCTTCAGTTCCTGCCCTTCCATATCTCTCCTGACCTTGCTGTCCCCCCCGCCCCAGACCCAAGACAGAGACCTCAAAGAAAGGCCCACCTTAGGAGTGGGCTTTGTGGAGTGGGGGGACAATGACTGGTTCCCCAGGTGTTCAGGAGCCTGAGCTAATTGGATTTCAGACTCAGGATGGACAGAAAAGCTGAGCTAGAACCCCACTACCTCTTACCCCTTCTCCCTCCTCCAAGATCCTAGTCAACTCCAAGTGGCAAAGCAAGCCTTGCCCACGGAGAGGTGGCTTGGTAACTTCTGCCGTCATCAGAGAGGTCCAAGCACCTGTGTAGCTGCTGGTGCGTTGTCAGGGACTGCTTAGCTCAGGAGGAGGGGCAGCTCTTCTGAGGCCCTCCCCAGCTCACAGCTTTTCTGGTTCTGGGAGAGGCCTGAGCCCAACATGGGCTGGACACAGCGAGGCTCTTCTCTGTTGCCCCCACTCGACCCATCCTGACAGCCCAGCTTTCCCTCCTTTACTTAGGCAGGGACCTGTCCACCCCAGTCAGGACAGTAGTCTTAAACTTAGGACCAAAAGACCTTTATTGGGCTGGAAGGAGGAGGTTGGAGGAGCCCAGCTGTGTGGGCTCTGACTCCTACTTGTGGCCAGAGGCTGGGCAGCCCAGCCAGTACTGGGCAATGGAGCGTGGGTAGGGAGGGTTCACGGTGTCCACTCGCCGTGTGCGAAGGTTGACTCGGTAGTAATTGTCTGGAAGAAAGGATGGAAGAGCGTGTGTGAGAGGTGCCTGGCCCTGCCTACTCATGCCCTGAGGAGAAAGACATGGGTCTCTCCCAGAAGGGAAAGTGAAGATCCACAGTGCAGCTAAGGACTCCTGGCCTGGCTCTCTGGGGTCACTGCCTGTAGGCTGTGTTCAACCCATGGGGAACAGGGACAGCAGGGAAGGCCCAAGCTAGACTAACTTCAGGGGTGGCAGGGGCTCCCACCTCCCGAGAAGAAGTAGACACTCTGGATGGGTTCGCAGGTGGCAGGCACAAGCCGGTCCATCCCATAGGCATCTGTGTTGTGGAATCCCAGCCCGCTCTCCTCACTGGAGAACAGCCAGGACAAACGAGATGGCCGGCGGGAGTTCTGGCTGTGGCCATGGCCACGGCCACGGTATGAACGGTAGCGTTTGCGGCTGCGACGCCTAGACTTTTGCTTCTTGGGCCAGGAGGAGTGGGGTGCCATGCCTGAGATGTAGATGCGGCCTGCCATGGCCGCATCCACTTGCCCAGGCACACCATGCCAATCCCGGCTGATGAACTTGGGCTGTCTGGCACCACCTATGGCAGGGAAGGGGTTAATGTGGGGCCTTGGGGCCCTGGCCCTGTCCTCTCCAGCAGGGCCTTCAGTGGTCATCCTCTGAGCCCTGCCCAAGGACACAAAACAACTAATGGCAGAGCCCATCCCCCAGGCTTCTGACTCCCTGTCCAATGCTCTTTCCCCTGCCCTCCCTCCACCCTAACCCTGGTGTCTCCACCCCACCCCCCAGGCCTCCCCAAGCCCCTCAGCCACAGACCCCTCCCTCTGCTGGCTGTGCCCTTGGCTGTGCTAGGCAAAGTCCAAGGTGTGGGATCCAGTTGGAGCCAAGCCTCCCCCAAAGGTCAACAGAAGCAAAGTCTGGCCTGACCAAACAGCTCTTGATCAATAACTCCACAATCACAGTCCCCTCCAGCCAGTCCAGCTCTACCCCTACCTGGGGGATTCCAGCCCTTTTGAGGGGGGAAAACAAGACTTGCCCTCCCTCCATACCAGAGGGTCTGCCCCAGAAGAGCAGCTCGAAGATGTCCTCCCAGCTGTCCCGCTGCAGCAGGGCAAAGTGCTCAAACACGGCCGACGGGGAGCTGCCTTCACACTCCTCCTGAGTGGGTTGCTGCTGGAATTCGTACTCCCAGTACTGTTTCCCTGGGGAGCAGGGTGGCTGGCATCAGGAGGGTGGGCCTAAGCAAAGCTGGAGAGCCCAGGGGCTGTTGAAGTTGGGAGCTCCCAGCATGGGGGTGGACATAAGCTGTGGCCTGACCCCAGTGAAGTGTGGAAAGAAACCAAGACTGCTCCACTGCTTGCCCATTCTCCCACCCACCACTTGAGTACCTTTGAAGAAGTAGACCCGCTCCCGGCCACTGTAGCTATGGGCAGGAAGGGCCAAAGCTGCGTCCACATTGTCCGGGATGCCACCAAAGCCTTCAGAGATGTTTCGGGGGTAATCAGGGTCCAGGACACCATCCTCAAAGCGCCAGTACTGACTACCCTAAGGGGTAGGGAGGTGAAAAGGAGTGAGGAGGCAGCTGTGGGCACTCCTGCCCTAAGGCAGCCATCCACAGCTCCAGGCTTTCTTCCCAGGACCTGGAGCCTTGGACTACCCTGTCCTCACAGAGCCCCAGCCAGGTACCTAACACAGGGCCCCAATCTGGCCTTCCTGTCCACCCTGGCCCTGGGCACAACAGCTCTCAACCCCTCCCTAGACACCCTCTACCCTGATCCACAGTGCCTGGCACCTTGAATAGGTAGGTCTTCCCCTGACAGTTGATGCGAGTGAAGGCGGCATCAATGGGGCCCTCGACACCCCAGACGTCTCGGATGAGCTTGGGGTACCCAGGCCTCACTGCACTTTCATCCAGCTCATAGCAGTACTGCCCTAGAATGGGGGAGGCTGTGTGAGGGAGCCAGTGCCCCTGGGACAGACCCACACCCCCCAGACCTGCCCCTGGAGTCACCTCGGAAGGCAAAGAGGGAACCATTCTTGAGGTCGGTGAAGGCATCAAAGGGCTTCCCACTGCAAAGCTCCTCCTCTGCTGGGGATGTGGAGGTCCCGTGATCAGTGGTCTCCGGCCTCAGACCCACCCCCTCAGACCCTGAAGTCACCCCCTCAGTCACTCGGGTCCCCCCCTCGGACCCTGGTGTGTCCGCCTCAGTCCTTGTGATCTCCTTCTCAGGGTTCAGCTCAGGATTCTCTTCGGGTCGGGCCTGCAGATCAGGTCTCAGGCTGGAGCCCTCTGGATGTGCATGGACACTGGCGTTGTCTTTGGTCTCCTCATGGTAGTCATAGACCCCGTACTCATCTTCCGGCAGAGTGAACACATCCCCACGAGTCACTGCAGGCAGAGTGGGTGGTAGCAAGACTCCAACTGCAGGGGGACTCCAGGCCCACCCACCCGGGCTCTGAACACACCTTGTGGCTTGCACTCGGCCATGTAGTCAGCGCAGCAGCTCTGGTAGTAAGAGCAGAGCTCGTCGCACTGACACTTCTTGTCAGCATTGAAGCCCTCAGTGCAGCGGCCCTTGCACGACTCTATGGGGAAAGGGTGTCAGTTGGCACAGCTAAGCCCAGGCCACCCTCGCCCACCCTACATTGGCCCAGATGGCTACTAATACCCTCACACACCTTGGTCAGCCAGAGCAACCCACACCAGCAGGGCCAGCATGAGAAGAGGTCTCAATGGTGCCATGGCGGGGCCTCCAGCTGAGGGCCTGGCAAGCTGGTCTCTGAGCTCCCTGAGGTCTCCGCCTGATGCCCAAGGAAGGGAAGGAGAGGCGGAGACAGAGAGGGCGGGAACTAGAGAAGAGCAGCTGCCCTTTCTGCTGCTCTGTTTGCTCAACCTCCAGCCCAGCCCCCAGTTCCAACTCCAGAGCCTGATGTAGCAAAGGGTCACATTCCCGGAACCCTGGGCCTGGGAGAGCAGGGAGATAGGACCCTTGCCAAGCTCAGGGTCATAAGGTCATCAGGAGGGGGTATAGTATGGTGGGTCTGGAAGGCCCATGCTGTCACTCACCAGACAACTGCTTTACCTCCCTGTGCCTTAGTTTTCTTTTCAGTAAAATGGGACTAACAATACCTTGCCTCGTGGGGTGAAGAACAGACAAGATGCCCAGAGCCTGGAGTAGCCCCAAACTCATTTTCCGTTGAGGGTTACTGATCCATGATTTGTTCATCAGGCACATTCCTAGCTGGGTGCTCATCCACCCATTGTGTATTTAGTGCATTGAAAGAGGAGTGGGAGGAGAGATGAACTCTGGAGAAATTTTCGCTCTTACCGTAAAAGAACAAAGTTTCACTTAGTTCTTCTCTTGGATACATCGATCTTCCCAAACCTGTCTTCACAGCACAGGAACTGGGTAAATATGAACCGACTGGACCAGATTTGATTCCTGCGTCTTTCACTAATTCACCCATCCTGGGCAGGCCACACCGCCCTCACCTTCAGTCTCCCCATCTGTAAAGAGTGGGCTCTTTCAGCACACTTTTAGACTTTCATGAGAACTGTGATTCCTCTACCCAGAAAATGTCCCGCTGGCACAGAATGGCTGATTTTTGTGCTCAATTTCAGGCGTCCACAAACCACCACCTGGAGGAAGTGATCCCAGTCTTCAGCTGACTTTTTCTGTTCTATAATCAGGGAGTGTGACTTAGGCCAATCTCTTCTCTGTGGGCCTCAGTTGCATCAGCTGTAAAACGGAACACTAATCCCTACCCCATAAGCGTGTTATGAGGTTTAATTGAGAAAGGCATAAAGGGCATTAAGAGTTGTACAGAATCGGGGATGGGGGGGGGCCGGCCCGTGGCTCACTCGGGAGAGTGCGATGCTGATAACACCCCAAGGCCACAGGTTCGGATCCCATATAGGGATGGCCGGTTTGCTCACTGGGTGAGTGTGGCGCTGACAACACCAAGTCGAGGGTTAAGATCCCCTTACCGGTTATCTTTAAAAAAAAAAAGTTGTACAGAATCGTTATTATGATTGCTTTAACCACCAGTAGGGGAGGGGGCACACTCAGCGGTGTTGCTCCCACATACCAGAATCATCAGGGAAAACGGAGACGATTCTCTCGCCCTCTGTCCTTTTCTCCCAAGTCCAGCGCAGGGGGCGGGGGATACGACTGAAGGGGGATGCTGGGCCAGGGTGTGGGCGTGGCTGGTGACGGCTTGGGGGTGGGGCTGCGCAGGAGGCGGGGCTTGGGCTTCTGTCCTCTGCGGCTCAGGGGCGTGGCTGCTGCAGAGCATCTCCCAGCCCAGCCGAGCTCCGGCTGGAGCCGCTCTTTGTTCCGGCCGCCGCTTCCTTTACCCTCCGGCATCTGGACCCATTCCTGGCCTCCCCTCTTCCTCCATCCGCCCAGTCCCTCCCTCTGGACCTGCCTGCATCCCCTTCCCCAACCGCTGCGCCCCGGCGCCTGCCCTCACCCCGCCCCCAAACTTCTGGCCGGTGCTCTTGCCGGGTTCCCTCCTCTCCGTTCCTCCCTGCTTCGTCTTCTTCCCTCTCGTCCCCTCTCGGGTACCCCTTTTCCCAAAGTCGGGGTCGCCCCGCCCCTCCAGGCCCCGCCCCTCCAGGCCGGGGATGTCCCCGCGCTCATGGTCCTGACACTGCTGCTCTCCGCCTACAAGCTGTGCCGCTTCCTCGCCATGTCCGGCCCACAGCCGGGCGCCGAGCGGCTGACGGTGCCGGGGACTGATGGAGGCAGCGGCGCGGGCCCGTGGTGGGCTGCGGGCGGCCGCGGGCCCCGTGAGGTGTCGCCTGGGGCGGGCACCGAGGTGCAGGGCGCCCTGGAGCGCGCGCTGCCCGAGCTGCAGCAGGCGCTGTCGGCGCTGAAGCAGGCAGGCGGCGCGCGGGCCGTGGGAGCCGGCCTGGCCGAGGGCTTTCAGCTGGTGGAGGAGGCCTGGTTGCTGCCGGCCGTGGGACGCGAGGTGGCCCAGGGTCTGTGCGACGCCATCCGCCTGGACGGTGGCCTCGACCTGCTGTTGCGGCTGCTGCAGGCGCCAGAGCTAGAGACGCGCGTGCAGGCCGCGCGCCTGCTGGAGCAGATCCTGGTAGCTGAGAACCGGTGAGGGCGCCGGGCTGGGCGGAAAGCGCCGCGTGGTGTGGGCTGGCAGGGGCGGCCGAACGCCTGGGCCTTGCACTGTGCCTTTGCCTGCCTCACCTCACTGCATCCCTGCACTGCACCTCTGTTAGGGATCAGCGTGTCCGTTTTACAAATAAGGAACTGAAGCTTGGGTAAGTTTAATTGCCCAGCGTCACACAGTGAACTGATGGTGCAGCCAGGATTCACTCCCAGAGCTACTGAGGTGAGGAATGGAGACAGGGAGAGGAGGAATGGGGTAGTAGGACAGGAGCTTGTCCCGGTTCTAGGGATGGACATGGCATCCTATTGCCAATGCCCCCCTAAACCCACAGCTCTCCTCCCATGGGGCTGGGTGCCCTTCCATGCTACCTGCTTTCCTCCTCAAACCATTCCCCTCCTACTGAGAGAGGAAGGGAACACAGTGCTCAGAAAAGGGGAGGAAGACCTCTCCTTTCCCCGGTCAGCAGGCTGAAATGCGTGCTGACCTAAGGTTACTCATCCCGTTTATGCCACCCAGTCCACTTCCTGCTTCATCCTTCATAGGGTCACGCACGTAACAGACCAGACATGATCTCATTCTGCAGCTGCTGACCGGGAACAGAAACTTTTCTGCTGGGATGAATGGGTGGGGGTGGGGGAAGAGGAACTGAGGTGCAGAAGTAGGGAGAGGCCAGAGCCTGTGTTTTCTCTCCCTTTCCTTTGGTACATGGTACCAAAATACAGTAAGTGGGGTCAAACCGAGGCCTGGTTGCCACTCTTTTCCCTGCCTCTTGAGATCTCCCCTGGAGTATAAAGACCCTTGAGGGCTCAATTTCCCTCCCTCTAATGCCAGAGCAGACCACACTGTCACACTCTAGTCTCGTGCTGAATTCTCAGGCTCCTCAGGCTTAGGAGAGTTTTGGAAGAGTCACTTTTAGCTCATGCAACTCTCAAAAGTGTGATGTGAGAGGGTTAGGGGTGTTTTACTTGCCATTTTCATACAGGAAAAAAATCACCTTGTGATTGATGGAAATTATACAACCGTCAAAAATGTGTGAATTGGGCCGGCCTGTGGCTCACTCGGGAGAGTGTGGTGCTGACAACACCAAGTCAAGGGTTAAGATCCCCTCACCGGTCGTCTTTTATTTTAAAAAAAAAAAAAATGCATGAACGAAGCAAGTTAGGTTGGGAGACCAAGACAGGGTTCTGCTTGTTCAGCAAGTCTTTAACCTTCCGTGTAACATCAGGTGCCCTGATGGGGATAGGCCATGAATTTGGAGGGCTGGAAAATGGAGTGGGTGCTTGCTGGGTGTGGTGGGGCCCGGGTTGGCAGGTGTGCCCTGTAGGTTTGATATGTGGGGTGGGGCAGCTACATCACTAGAACCCCCGGAGGGCGGGTGCAGCCAGCACCCTAGGAAAAGGAGGGCTGCAAGATTCAAACGGCATTGACAATTTTTCCAGGCTGAAAATGACAATCCTAACCTGCTTCAGAGTTACAGAGAAAGAAGTCACTAACCAGTGTTGCTTGTCTCAAGAAACAACAAGCTGATGCTGGTGTCTTTTCAGGACCAAGGACAGAGGGCAGCACGCTTAGTTGTGATCAAACTTCCAAAGAGAGGCAGGGTCTCTGCACTCCTCTAGACTGCGCTGGGGACAGGACTGGGAGGGAAAGAAGAGGGGGCAGCACACTGAAAATTTATGTTTATGAAACCTTTTTTCTCCTCCACCAGCCACCCCCCCACTGTCACCTCTTAAAGAAGGTTCTTCCATCGGTGCGCCCACCCCTTTTCGTCACTCTTCTTCTTGCAGCTCTCTTCTTCCCTGGATGACTGATCCCACTGCCCAGGAGCCTAGGCCACAGTTTCCCTCACCCCCAACTATCAGAAGAAATCCAACAGGGTAGGGATCTCCAAACCTGGCCCCACAACACCCAGTAAGGGTCCCATCTGACTGCTAGCCCTCTAAATTCACAGCCCATTCCCCTCAGGGGACCATAATGAATGTATCCTTAGAGAGGTTAAATGGCTTTCCCACGAACACATAATGAGTCAATGGAGGAGACAGGCTTAAAAAGAAACAAAAACAAGGGCCTGCCCGGTGGCGCACTGGAGAGTGCCCCGCTTGGGAGCACAGCGGCGCTCCCACCGAGGGTTCGGATCCCATGTGGAGACCGGTTCCCACTCACTGGCTGAGTGCGGTGTGGGCGCAACACCGAGGGTTGTGATCCCATTACCGGTCAGTAAAAAAAGACAAAAAGGAATTAAAAAAAAAAAAAAAGAAAAAAAAAAACAAAAACAAAACTATCGCACATAAATTCAAAAAGTACAAAGGTACAAAAAAGCTATACAGTTAAAAGTTCTTCCCAACCAGTCCTCCTCCCAAGAGGCAAACCACTGTAACATGTTTCTTGTTAATCCTTCCAGAGAGAGTCTATGCATATGCAAGCATTTGCATATATATGTATATTACATATGCATGCTTGTTATATATATATAATTTCCCCCTCCTTTGGATCTGGGATTTGAACCCAGACCTGCGTGTCTCCAAAGTGTGTGCCCATTTCACCAGGGTCACAGCCTCTCAGGCTACAGACGAACTGGGAGCTGAGCGAATGGTGATCACAACAGCACACAGTTCAACTCTGTAAATGTGCCAGGTGCATAGGGAAAGGTGAGGGCTGGGGGTCAAGAGACTCAGAATAAAGTCCTAGCTCTGAATTGATGATCCTAAGCAAGCCCTTAGGTAAAGTCCCCTGGAAATGAGGGTGTTGGATGAGGTGATTTCTTAAGCACATCATGGCTCTGATATCCTAGAAGTTTAGAAGCATAAAGTGAAGATGAAAGATCTTGAACTCTGGAGATAACAGACCTGGGTTCAAATCCCAGCTGTGCTTCTCAGAAGCTGCGTGATCCTGGACATGTCATATAACCTCTCTGAGCTTTGGTTTTCTCATTGGTAAAAGGAACAACTGCAGTTACAGCTGCCCCAGCGGATGATTAGGACCCGCCTGTTCCTTTGGAGATGGGCTGCGGAAAAGCTGAGTGGTTAGCTCAGCAAAGGTGTGCTGGCCTTATGGCATGTTCTAGACTCAGCTGGGCCCTACAGTGGACACAAAGTCACAGGCACTGTGGTCACTGTTGTGCCCACTGGGCAAGGACTCCACGGCTTGCTGGGCCTCTAAGTTTCTGGGGGATAATGTCACCTGTGGAGGACATCGTTTGTGGAGATCAGAAATGCAGGAAGCCTAAACTCTGCCTGGAGTTTGGCAACTCTCCTGCCTTCTCTGTTGGCCTCCAGGCTCTCTCCCTTAGACCTGTCCTCCCCACAGCAGTCAGAGTGAGTTTCCTAAAACCCACACATGATCAAACTACTCTCCTTCCTGAATCTCTTTAATGGCTTTCCATTTGCCATCAAGATAAAATACATGGGCTGGCCAGTTAGCTCAGTTGGTTAGAGTGTAGTGCTGAGAACACCAAGGTCAAGGGCTCCGATCCCCATACCGACCAACTGCCAAAAAAAAAAAAAGGATAAAGTACAAATGCCTTGAGATGGCTCAAAAGGCCCCCAGGACTGAACTCTTTGAACCCTCTGCCTCAGGCATGTGGAAGTGTGGCCAGCTCCCCCAGCACACCAGCTCCCCAACACCTCCAAGCCTTATGCATACATCTATGCCTGGAATGCAATCTCCCCTTCTCCTCCTGATTAATGCCCCCACCACCCTTCTGACCTAACTCCACAGACAACCATTCAATACATTTAATGTGTATCTTTCTATCTGTGTTCTGCTAAAATCTTTATTTGTGTGTGTGTGTATATATATTTTTAATTTACACGAATGGTGCCGTGCTATATAGCACATTCTGTTTCTGACTTTTTCCTACTCAGTATAGGTGTTCAAGATCTTTCACATTGCTGTGTTATCACCTGCTCAGTCACTTGTAACTGCTCCAAAATCTTCCAGAGTGGGCACCTGCCCATGTTACTTCTGCTCTGCCAGACTTGATACTAATTGCCTCCAACTTCCTCACACCACAAATAACACTGTAGTGAACATCCTTGTCCACGTGCACTTGTCGGTGTGTGTGACAATCTCTTTGGGAGAGACTGCCTGCTCTCCAGATGGACCGCCCCAGCCCGCACCTCCACCCGCAGTGCTTCGGGGCGTTCACAGCCCTACACCCCGCCAAGCCTCTGCATCATCCAGCTTCTGGTTTTGCCCGTCTAATAGGTGTAAAGTGATAGCTGTTGTTTTAATTTTTATTTCTCTGATTATTAATGAATTAGAGCATCTCTTTTTCTGCTTGCTTACATTTTGGATTTCCTCTTTTGCAAATTGCCTGTTTATGTCCTTTGCCTGTTTTCAATTGAATGTATTGCTTTTTTCTTGCTGATTTGAATATGTGCTCATATATTCTATATATGAATCCCATGCTGATCTTATATTTTTTCTGTTGGTTTTAGACATTGCAGTATCTATGACCTTCTTTCTGTTCCTCAAACATGCCTGCTCATCAGCCCTCAGGGCCTTCGTCCTTGCTCTTCTCTCCTATATTTGCAGACAGGGGTTCCTTGACATTTATCTCTCAAATGTCACCTCCTCAGACACATCCCTCCATCAGGCACACTCCATCACATCATCCAGTTTTGCTATAATCATGGCCATATCACTACTATCTCGTTCATTTATTGCTTACTTGCTTATTGTCTGCCTCCACATTAGCTGAGGATAAGCTCCAGTGAGGCTTAGCCACTGTTTAACCTCAGCCCCTAGCACAGTGCCCGGCACACAGTAGGTCCTTAACAAACGTCTGTTGAATTAATGAATAAATACTCTCAGTCATGGAGCATGGAGTGAGGAAAAGTTTGAAGGCAAGGGTGAGGGTGGTGTACGCCAAGTGACACTTCAAATGATGATAAGTTAACATTTGTGCCAGGCCCTGTGCCAAGCATTTTATATGGATTATCTCATTCGTCTTCATAATAATTCTATGAGGTAGGTATTCTTATTTTCCTATTTATGAAATGGGGAAACTGAGGTAGAGAGAAAAAGGAAGGTGTCCAAAGTCCCACAGTTACAAATGGCAGATTAAGGGCCTGCCCGTGGCTCACTCGGGAGAGTGCGGTGCTGATAACACCAAGGCCAAGGGTTCGGATCCCATATAGGGATGGCCGGTTGCTCACTGGGTGGGCGTGGTGCTGACAGAAAAAGGAAGGTGTCCAAAGTCCCACAGTTACAAATGGCAGATTAAGGGCCTGCCCGTGGCTCACTCGGGAGAGTGCGGTGCTGATAACACCAAGGCCAAGGGTTCGGATCCCATATAGGGATGGCCGGTTCGCTCACTGGCTGAGCGTGGTGCTGACAACACCAAGTCAAGGGTTAAGATCCCCTTACCGGTCATCTTAAAAAAAAAAAAAAAAACAGGACCCAGGGAGTCTGCTCCCGAGCTGGGATCCTTGACCACTACACACGCTGCTCCTCAAGGGGAGGAGGCAGGGAGGAGGTGGCCAGGATGGAGCTCGCTCATAATCAGAGAAGTCTGGCCCTCCCGGGGCAGGAGGTGAGAGTGGGAGACAGGATGGATAAGGCAGGATGGAGTGAGGCCCTGAGAGGGTAAGTGCCCAGGGCCCCAGTGGGCAAGCCAAGCTCCCCAGGCAACGGTAACTCCACCGTCCCCTTCCGCTTTCTCCCGGCAGGGACCGCGTGGCGCGCATCGGACTGGGTGTGATCCTGAACCTGGCGAAGGAGCGCGAGCCGGTGGAGCTGGCGCGGAGCGTGGCCGGCATCTTGGAGCACATGTTCAAGCACTCGGAGGAGACGTGCCAGCGGCTGGTGGCTTCCGGCGGCCTGGACGCCGTGCTGTACTGGTGCCGCCGCACAGACCCGGCGCTGCTGCGCCACTGCGCCCTGGCGCTGGCCAACTGCGCGCTGCACGGGGGCCAGGCTGTGCAGCGGCGCATGGTGGAGAAGCGCGCCGCCGAGTGGCTCTTCCCGCTTGCCTTTTCCAAGGAGGACGAGCTGCTGCGGCTGCACGCCTGCCTCGCCGTGGCCGTGTTGGCGACCAACAAGGAGGTGGAACGCGAGGTGGAGCGCTCGGGCACGCTGGCGCTCGTGGAGCCGCTCGTGGCCTCGCTGGACCCCGGCCGCTTCGCCCGCTGCCTGGTGGACGCCAGCGACACCAGCCAGGGCCGCGGGCCCGACGACCTGCAGCGCCTCGTGCCGTTGCTTGACTCGTCGCGCTTGGAGGCGCAGTGCATCGGGGCTTTCTACCTCTGCGCCGAGGCTGCCATCAAGAGCCTGCAGGGCAAGACCAAGGTGGGTGCAGGTGTGGGGTAGGGGGGGTCAGGGGTTAGAGAGCGTCTGGAAAGGCTTCCCCCAGGAAGTGACACTCAACTGGGACTTGAAGCACACTTAAGAGTTAGGTGAGGCTGGCGGATTAGCTCAGTTGATGAGAGTGTGATGCTGCCAACACGAAGGTCCACAGTTCGATGCCTGTACTGGCCAGTCAAAAACAAAAACAAAAAACAAAACAGTTGGCTTGCTGATTAGCTCAGTTGGTTAGACAGCAGTCCTGCTAACGCCGAGGTCCGAGGTTGGATCCGTGTACCAGCCAGCGCCAAAAAAAAAAAAAAAAAAATTAAACTTCTGGGGCCGCCCAGTGGTGCACTCTGTAGAGTGCGGCGCTTGGGAGTGCGGCGGCGCTCCCGCCAAGGGTTCGAATCCCATATAGAGACCGGTCCACTCACTGATTGAGCGCGGTGCGGGCGCGACACCAAGGGTTGCGATCCAAAACAAGAGGATGAGGGGGGAGACATTCTGGCCTTGAAGGCAAGACTCGAAGTTTGGACTTGGTCTTTGGGGCAAGAAGAAGACACTGAGGTTTTTAAGCGGGGACGCTTGTGTTTTACAAAAATCACCTTGGCTGCTGTGTGATAAAGGAGTTGGCAAGGGGACCCAGCAGGAGGCTATGACTGGGGGTGGAAGGTGACATTTGACATGGTGGAGGCAGGAGTGGCAGCAGTGGCAGAGAAGCAAATTCAAGAGATGTTTAAGAAATGGAATTAGGACTTGGTGGCTGGGTGGAGAGAGAAGCTGAGGACGACTCCTGGTCACGAACATGGGCAACCCAGTGGACAAGGTGCACTGGGTGAGAGACACGTTGGAGGAGGCAGGGGAAGAAAGTGGGACTAATTATAGTTGCATCCACCTCACGATCCACCTCCTTGTTGGTTGCCAACATTGCCACAGCGAGAAAGTGAAATATTGAATTTGAGATGCCTGAGAGATGCCCAGCTGGGGAACTTCAATGGGCACTTTAGCCATTTGGGTCTGAAGTCTGGGAAGATGGCTTCTGGAGACAGGGACTTGGGGTGGACATACTGTGTCAGCCAGATAACCCCCACCTGAGTCCAAAGGGGTCCCCATGCCCAGGGTCTGAATAGCAGTCTTTGCTTGCTACTGCAACTTGCTTTGTGACCTTGGGCACCTGGCTTCCCCTCTCTGGGCCTCATTTTTATCCTCTGGAAAACTAAAGGAGTTGGACCTCAGCAGTGGTTCTTAACCTGGATAAGGGACTAATGATAGTTGCATTACCAAAAGTTTGTGGGTTTTGTTTCTTAAACATTACAGATTCGAGATTATCCCTATAATGTCACTCTCCTTTGCGTTCCTCTGGGGGGTCTTGGGGGTGGGTGAGAGCTGGTGCACAGGGAGTGGTGCACACCCCATGGCCCACCCTGTCCCTACCACAGCTGTCATCTGAGGTGCTCATAGAGTGTGTATCACATGATTGTCACCCATTATGTGTGTCTCTGCAGATCAAGAAGAGACTGCTTTGTTAAGGGGTCTCCAAGGCCTCTTCCAACGGGCAATGTTCTAGGAGTTTCTGGTTCTTCTCTCTGCGCTGCAGAGTTAGGCCGTGGGAGGACTTGCCCTTATAAAGCAGGTCATTCTGCTTTGGGAGAAGGGACTTGAAGGGAAGTAGGGAGTGAGGACCCCAAGGATTGGATCTGGCCAGCAGCCGTGATCACCACCCCATCACCTCTTTCCCATAGAGGCCAAGCAAGCACAGTTCAGCAAAGACATACTGAGCCCTTACTCTGTGTCCTTCATCATGCCAAATATGGGGCTTCAATCGTGACTAAGACATGTGCTCAGCTTATAGTCCAGTGGAAGTTGTGTTATCACCTAGTGTCAACGGCATTCAGAGTGTGGTACAAGTCCTAATTGGAGGTCGTAGGCCAAGCTGTGGTGGAATCAAAGCAGGCTGCACAGAGGAGATGCTAATCAGTCTGGATGCCAGTGGATTCCCATGAGCAGGCTGGAAGAAATAAGGGTTTGGGAACACCATGGGCCGAGGCGTGTGTGGGGGTGGGTGTCATGCAAGTGTGGGTTGGTAGAAGGCTAGGTGAGCTGGAGGTGGTGGGCAGGGGCTGCACTGTGCCAGACGTGGCGGCCATACCAAGAGCTCAGACTTTGTCCTAGGCCAGTGGAAGCTGTAGAAGGGACATGTGAGGGGGGCCTGCTCAAGAATGGAGAGAGCTTCAGGAGGGAGAATCCACAGAACTTGGTGACTTAGTGGGTAAAGGCAGGATGACAGGACTTTCAACGGTGAGAAGAGGGGAAGGGAGGGACTGGGCACTTTGGGGGACGGCGGACAAGCTGGTGGACCCTAGACCCCCTCTCCCCACCCCATCCCTAGGTGTTCAGCGACATTGGTGCCATCCAGAGCCTGAAACGCCTGGTTTCCTACTCCACTAATGGCACCAAGTCGGCACTGGCCAAGCGCGCGCTGCGCCTGCTGGGCGAGGAGGTGCCGCGGCCCATCCTGCCCTGCGTGGCCAGCTGGAAGGAGGCCGAGGTCCAGACCTGGCTGCAGCAGATCGGCTTCTCCCAGTACTGCGAGAGCTTCCGGGTAGAGCCGCGGGGTCCGCTTCCCCCCAGTCGGCGACTGCACCCCCTCCCGGCCCTCACACCCATGGCGCCAGGTTGCCCTTTGGGGGGCGGGGAGCCTGTACTCAGCCATCCGCGGGGTCACTCAGCTGTAATCTGGGTCCCATCTGCCCCCGCCGCTGCCACCTCCAGTTGCTTCTCCTTGCATCTCGTGCTTGAGGTCCAAGGGCTTAGGAGGAGAGCCCTTCCTCACACCTGATCTCTCCCCCAGGAGCAGCAGGTCGATGGCGACCTGCTTCTGCGGCTCACAGAGGAGGAACTCCAGACCGACCTGGGCATGAAATCGGGCATCACCCGCAAGAGGTACGGAGTCTCCTGCCTGCCTGCTCGCCCGCCACCAGGTCTAACTGACCGCCCCTTCCACCCCTAGCCTGTCCAGAGTCAGGACCTCAGCTTCTTCTCCTCCATGGGGTGCAGGTTCTTTAGGGAGCTCACCGAGCTCAAGACCTTCGCCAACTATGCTACCTGCGACCGCAGCAACCTGGCCGACTGGCTGGGCAGCCTGGACCCGCGCTTCCGCCAGTACACCTATGGCTTGGTCAGCTGTGGCCTGGACCGTTCCCTGCTGCACCGAGTGTCCGAGCAGCAGCTCCTGGAGGACTGTGGCATCCGCCTGGGCGTGCACCGCGCCCGCATCCTCACAGCTGCCAGAGGTCAGCCCGCCCACCTGGGACCCCCTCTTCCTCCAGCTGCAGCCCCAGAGGAGGGAGCTGAGCCGCAGAGCCTCCTGGGCGGTTGGTTGAGCACAGATGCTGCGACGGCTTGGGCTCTGAGGGTGGGAAGATGAGTATGTTGCACTTTCCTTCAAGAAGTTCTCAGGCCGAGGTGGGTAGGAGGGGAGTAAGGCAGGTATATACATAGGCAGATGGCCTGCCTTGGCTTATTGGGCCCAGGGGAAGCTCTGGGCAGGATCGGAGGGGCACAGCAGCCCTGTGGTCAACCATGTGAGGGCAACTCAGGGTGAGGTAGGTGAGTTCCCTTCCTGGCAGTGTGGGGTCCATCAGCCCCCATGTCCTTGCTATGGCCAACCAAATCTGTGAAGAGATGGGAGCAAAGAGTGAGGCCACAGCTGCCCCATATCTTGAGATGGGGGCATCTGTCTTCTGAGGAAGAAAGTGGGCCTGCCACACCAAACGGGACCGTCACCGTCCTGCACTTCCTAGCCACGTCACAACTAAAGACGAAAAACGGGGAATGGGTGCACAACAATGTGAATGTACTTAATGCCACTGAACTAGAAACTTAAAAGTGGTCAAAATGCTAAATTTTATGTTACGTACATGCTACTACAAAAAAAACCCCACAAAAACCCACAACAATAAATAGGAGGTGACCCCAGCAGGAAGCATGCCTAGGACTACAGTGGGAGCCCAGAAGAAGCACAGCCTGCCTGTCCACCCAGGCCTAGACCTGGGAGAGGAGGGGATGCCTGACCAGGTCTTCAGGGGTGCACTGGGCACTGTGGGGAGCAGGGGCAGCGAGGAGGCAGTGTGGAGCATGGAGGGTGCATACATGGGGTGTGGGTGGGAACACGGCGGCTTATCCTGTTACCCAATGGCTTACAAAGGCTGGGTTCTGAGGGTGCTTAGAGTGGATTCTAGGGCTCCAGCAACCCTCTTTTTTTTTTTTTTTTTTTTTTTTAAGATGACTGGTAAGGGGATCTTAACCCGTGGCTCGGTGTTGTCAGCACCACACTCAGCCAGAGATCGAACCGGCCATCCCTATATAGGGATCCGAACCCGGGGCCTTGGGGTTATCAGCACCGCACTCTTCCGAGTGAGCCATGGGCCGGCCCTTCCCGCAACCCTCTTTTTTTTTTTTTTTTAAGATGACTGGTAAGGGGATCTTAACCCGTGGCTCGGTGTTGTCAGCACCACACTCAGCCAGAGATCGAACCGGCCATCCCTATATAGGGATCCGAACCCGGGGCCTTGGTGTTATCAGCACCGCACTCTTCCGAGTGAGCCATGGGCCGGCCCTTCCCGCAACCCTCTTTATTCACATTTTTTTTTTATTTGGCGGCTGGCCGGTACAGGGATCTGAACCTTTGACCTTGGTATTATCAACACCACATTCTAACCAAGTGAGCCAACCAGCCAGACTATTCATTAACTTATTTTTATTTACTAATTTACTATTCAGCTAATATTTATTACCTATATACCAGGTACTTAAGATATCTTAAGTTTTTTAAATATCTCATTAATCTCTATACCCATTCTATACTGTGTGTGGTAAATTTTTAAAAATCAACTTTAAAAACTTTTTACAGAATAACACGAGGCATAAGTAAACCTAAAAGTGTCCAGTTTGGGGCCGGCCCCGTGGCTCACTCAGGAGGGTGCAGCGCTGGTAGCGCTGAGGCCCCGGGTTCGGATCCTATATAGGGATGGCCGGTGCACTCGCTGGCTGAGCGTGGTGCTGACAACACCGTGCTGAGGGTTGCGTTCCCCTTACCGGTCACAAATAAAAAAGTGTCCAGTTTGAGGAGTTTTGAAAAACATCTACCCCTGTGTAAACTCCATAAAAATCCAAGATATAGAACATCTCCATGATGGGTGTTATTTTAAAGATAATGAAACTGAGATTTAAAGAGTTTGAATACATTTCCTGAGGTTAGAAAAGCCATTAGCTGACAGAACTGGAATTTTAGCTCTGTCTTTCTGCTTCATAAACAGACAATTGTCTATGGATGTAAAGTCTGAATATTATAAAAAGATGAATTCATTTGTCCATTTGTTCAGCAAGTATGTACTAAGCACCTACAAGAGATAAGGGAATGGGCTTTGGCCCAATTCTTTTGCTTCAACCAAAGCAGGTCAACTTTTATCATTTTTACATTGCAACTCCAAGTAAAACTCCAAGATTTCATGTTTAAAAAACAGGAGGGTCCTGGGGCCGGCCCGTGGCTCACTTGGGAGAGTGTGGTGCTGATAACACCAAGGCCACGGGTTCGGATCCCATATAAGGATGGCCGGTTGGCTCACTTGGGAGAGCGTGGTGCTGACAACACCAAGTCAAGGGTTAAGATCCCCTTACCGGTCATCTTAAAAAAAAAAAAACCCAGGAGGGTCCTAAGGCAAAAATAGCTTCCAAAAAATAGCTTCTATAGGAAGTAGGGAGCCATGCACAGTTGGTTTTTGTTTTTGTTTTTGTTTTCGTCAGCTGGCTGGTAAGAGGATCCGATCCCTTGACCTTGGTGTTACAACACCACGTTCTAACCAACTAACCAACAGGGACAACAAGCTTCCCAGATTTGGATTTTAGAAAGCTATCTCTATAGCTTTAGCAAATGGCGTAGATTGGGTAATCATAGCTAAACTTGGGGAGACCATTGAGGAGGCTGGTGTTGGGAGCCCGGACATAGGGAGGACCCTGGGCTGGAGTCCAGGATGTTTAGTAGGTAGAAGCAACAGAGCATGGAGCCTGGCTCTGATCATTGAATGTCAGCCCCACAAAGATGGGGTTTTGTTCACTGCTGTATCCCAAGCACTAAGGACAGTGCCTGGCATGCAGTAAGTGCTTTGTAAATATTTGTTGAATAAATGAATGAGAGGTGGGAGCTGAAGCTGATACTCAAGTTTCTGGCTTTGGTGAAAACTAGGAGGAAGGGGCAAGGGGAGGAGTTTGGACGGTCTGTGGGCAGCTGGCTGTGCAGGGCTGTAGTTCCAGAGAGAGGACAGGACTGGAGCTACATATCAGTGTCCCTAAAACACCATGCCTACCACCCGAGAGGGACTCATCAATAGTCAGTGGCCTTCCTTCCTGTAGGCCCCATCTCTCAACCTCAGGCTAGGCTGAAAGGGCTGGGTGGGTAGGAGACTAAGTCTTCAAGGGATTATGTGCCTCATGGTGAGTGATGGGAAGGGACCATCCTCACCATGCCATCTCTTGTCCACCCCAGAAATGCTGCACTCCCCACTGCCCTGCACTGGCTTTAAGCCCAGTGGAGATACCCCAGATGTCTTTATCAGCTACCGCCGGAATTCAGGCTCCCAGCTGGCCAGGTGAGGAGGGGCAGGCAGGCAGCCTGGGCCCTTGGGGCAGGGCCATGGCAGTGACACAGGAATTCTTTGCAGCCTCCTGAAGGTGCACCTGCAGCTGCATGGCTTCAGTGTCTTCATTGATGTGGAGAAGCTGGAAGCAGGCAAATTTGAAGACAAGCTCATCCAGAGTGTCATGGGTGCCCGCAACTTTGTGCTGGTGCTGTCAGCCGGGGCATTGGACAAATGCATGCAAGACCATGACTGCAAGGACTGGGTGCACAAGGTAGGTGCTGTGCCTCTGCGGTCCCAGCAATAGCACGTGGCCCAGGGGACAGGACCCTCCTCCCTTTCCTTCTTGTCTGCACACCCCAGCAACACTTAGCCCTGAAGCACCTCCCCGGCCTGGCTGGAAGGCAGCAGCCACAGCTCTGACTGAAATAGGACTTTAGCAAGCTACTCAGGCTCTCTGCATCTTAGTTTTCTCATCTACAAAATGGGATAACTTGCCTGTCCTATTCACCTTGTAGGATTGTTGTGAGGGTCAGAGAGGGATGAAAATGCTTTGAAAAATAACTTCTGTGAGGGGTAGGAGAGCATAGTGACAAGCAGAATGGCATTATTGTTAAGAACGCAAAACCATGAACTTGAATCCTGGCTCTGGCCATGGACAAGTCACTTCACCCCAATGAGCTTCGTGTGTATTACTGGAAAGTTGGGATAATGATAGTACATAACTCCCTAGGATATCGTTACGAGAATTAAAAGAGCTAGAGTTCGTGAAGTGCTTATCAGAATGCCTGGCACATAGTAACTGCTCAATAATGGTGGCAATAATTATTGATATAATTATTATGACTACTACATCTATTTAAGCAAATGAATAAAGGTAGGGATGAGAAAGGTGCCAAATGCCTACATGCATCATTGGTATTGCTTGCTTCATCACACAGATGAAGAAACTGAGGCTCAGAAAAATAGAATCATTTTCCAATGTCCACATTACTAGCATAGAAATCAGAAAAGCTGGGCTTCGAACTCCATCTATCTGATTCCAAAACTCGTGCTCTCTCCCAGGATCTGCGCTGTGTCCCATGGCACAGATCTGAGGAGTGTGAGGGCAGATGATGGGAAAGGCTTGGATTCAGCTGACACCAGAGATGATTGTCTGCATCTCTTCCACATTCACTGATATCATGTTGGTAGCTTGGAATCAGCCTTGGTGGGAGTATTTACACCAAGGAAATTGGCAACTGTTACAAACCAAGGTTTTGTTTTTGACTGGTTGGTTGGTTGGGTTTTTCTCCCCCTTGGGGAGCTGGTTGTTATACATTTACCAGCGCACCCCTGGCTGGATAAGAATTATGGAACCGAGTTATGGAATGCTTAAAGCAGGGTGAAGACCTGTGCTTAAAGCCCTGGGAAACAGGGAGCCCTTGGGCAGGAAGAGGGCAGTGGGTTTTAGGAAGAAGGCTCTGATACTAGAGCACTGTCCAGATTGACAGTGGGGAAGAGGGCCAAGCTCCAAAGGCCATGCAGGAGGGGCTGAGTACCAGGCCTGGGTTGGGACTGGGGCACTGGGCCAGGGAGACATCCTGGAGGATCATGGCTGATGATCCAGAGCAGGTGGCAGGCAGCCTTTGGAGAGAAAGAGAGGAGTATCTGTGAGCTCCATGAGAGTTCAGACCTCGTCTTGTTCACACTGCATCCCTGTTGTATAAAACCATGCATGGTACACAGAAGGCTCTATAAGAGTTTATAGGATCATTGACGCGACAGTTAAACAGAGGAGCGATTCTGATGAAGCTGAGATGACTGGGAGAGCCATGTCTATCTACTACATTTACCAGGTCAAAAGACTTGACTCGAATCAAGTTGCTGTTCTTAACCAGCTGAGTGATCTTGAATATACCCATATCCCTTTCTTGGCCAGCCTCTGAATCTGCACAATGAGCAGTTTGTACTCTCTTTTGTGCTGTATAATTCTGGATGAAACAAATGTCTACAGGTTCCCAAATACATTGCTGCAGGGTCAGAGTGCATCTAAATGCTCAGCAGAGAGGCAGCAGGGCTTGGTTGAAACAGCCCTGGACTTGGCCTCTGAAGGCTGGAGTCAGAGGTCTGGTCCCTCCTGAGATGAGCATATATGTGACTTGGTAGGAAGTTTCTTCTCCTCTCTGGGCTTCCTTCTCTTCATCTGTAAAAGGGAGAAGCTCCCCAGAAAGCCAGTCAAGGTTGAAGTTATGCAGGGTCTTTCCCCTGGAAGGGTAAGAGGCTTGGCACCCGTTGTTGTCCCAGCAGATGGTAAGTAAGGAGGGAGGTGGGTGGTGGGAGCCTATGCCTTGGCCCAGTTCCAAAGGCTCCATCATCCACTTTGGTTGTTTTTAGTGCTTAATTGCCTCTGATTCTACAACTCCTTTCCCCGAAGCCACATTTAGTGGCTAATCAATATGGAAAACCACAAGTGAACTGCACTCAAGAAGGTCCAATTCCCCCTTGAAAGGAAAGAAACATTCAATAAAGCACTTACCAGATCACCATTAATAGTAAGTAATATCCTCAGAACAACCTTGTGAGGTGGGTTTTATTATCCCCACTTTACAGAGGAGGAAATAATAACACCTATTATTTATTAAGCACACACCGTTTGCTAAGCGCTGTTCTAATCACTTGCCACAGAATACTGCAGTTATTCCATGCATCAACCCTACAAGACAGGGACTATCATTAACTCTGTTCTGTATATTAGAAAACAGAGACTTTGAGAGCTCATTATTTTTGCCTCAGGTCACAGAACCTGTGTCAGAGATTTGATGTGAACCCAGAGCTGATGATTCCAGAGCGCAGCCCCTAACGGCTATGATATGCTGTCCCATTCATTCATTCGTTCCTCCATCCATTAAATATCCAGCAAGGGCTGACTATGGGCAGGGCTTTGTGGTAGATGCTGAGATACAAGGTGAGTAAAAAACAGACATGGTTCCTTCCCTTAGGTATGGCAAAAACACATATTAAATTAACTCCCCATCAATTAAATTTGCAACTGTACTATGTGCCGGAGAGTCTATGAGAGCCTACAATAGGGAAATATGACTTGGTTAGGAAAGTGAGGGACAAGGTCTCTGGAAAAGTGTTGATTGAGCTCAAATCAGAAAAATGAGTGGACATTATCCAGGTGAAGGGGCAGGAAAGCATGTGCTAGACAGAGGAAACAGCATGTGCAAAGGCCCTGTGCAGGGAGGGAGGATAGCAAATCTAAAGGGCTACAAGATCTTTGTGGCTTGGGGGACAGTGTAGGGACGGAGTTTGAGAAGTGGACTGTGACCAACAACACAGGGCCTTGCAGACCACATTAAGAAGTTTGGACTTTATTCTAAGAGCCATGTAAAGTCTTGAATCTTTTTAAGTATAGGGTGACAAGATCAGATTTGTCAGATTTGCATTTTGCAAAGATTAGCTAAGTGAAAGGGCAACATGGAGAATAAAATAGAGGGGACAAAAGAGTGAATGAGGAGACCTAGTGGGGCTGAAGATAATGGGGGTTGGAGCAGGGTGGTGGTGGGGTGGAGGTAGAGAAAAATGGTGGATATGAGAAATAAGTGTTGACCTAAAAAGAAACTGAGACCAAATACATATAGCAAGGATTTATTGAGCCAAAATGATGACACATAGATCTGATCGCCCTGAAAATGTTTTCCAAAGAACTTAATATTTTATAATCACAAGAACCTAATATTTTATAAATCATAAGAAGGGGAAAGGATCAAAGGAAAGAGAGAGAGATAGCCCTGCCTAATTACTTTATCAGTAATTTTCTATTGGTCATACATGACACATAGATTTGGGGTTGTCGCTAAGTTACTTCCTACATGCAGGGATCTAGAGTAAGGGTAATAGGGAGTATTCTAGGTTATTTTATGGTTTTCTAACACAATTATGGCTGCTTCTAAGTAACATAGTCGTATAATGTTTTTCCAGGACAGGTGGATGTGATGATTGACATCCCAGATCTCCCAAGGCGCTATCATTTAGCTGACGTGGTCAGAGCAGATTCTTTTGTTTATTGTAGGTAAGGAGTATAGTTGGCAGGGCTCAGGATGGATCAGTCTGCCTGCAGGCGTGTGATGTTTTTCATCTGATGCCAAGTCATGTGGAGTTTTTTCTACACTGACAGCTAATTCTCCAGTTTCCTGACACCAACTAAGTGTCCCACAGTTCAATTCAGTTCTGACACCTCAGACCCCACAGGTTAAGAGCTCAGGCCCACCAGGCGGCCCTCACTTCAGACACAGTTGCAAGTCCTTCTGTCTGACTTGGCTACAAATTCAGGGGTTCCCATGACAACCTCCCCCCCACCCCATGCATAATTTGCTAGAATGACTCACAGTATGCAGGAAAGCACTTTACTTTTTTTTTTTTTTTTTTTTAAAAGATGACCGGTAAGGGGATCTTAACCCTTGACTTGGTGTTGTCAGCACCACGCTCAGCCAGTGAGCGAACCGGCCATCCCTATGTGGGATCCGAACCCGGGGCCTTGGTGTTATCAGCACCGCACTCTACCGAGTGAGCCACGGGCCGGCCCGAAAGCACTTTACTTATGATTAGTGGTTTATAATAATAATAATGATGATGATGATGATGATGATGATGATATAATTTAGGAATAGCCAAATGGAAGAGATGCACAGGACCAAGTCTGGAGGACAGGGGCTCCTAGATGTGTTCACTAACCTGGAAGCTCTTCAAGCCCCATCGTTTAGGGGTTTTTATGGAGGTTTCATTACATAGGCATGATTAATTAAATCATCAGCCATTGGTGATAACTCAATCTCCAGCCTTTCTCAGGAGGTCATGGGTGGTGCTGAAAGTTTCAACCCTGTAATCATGGCTCGGTCTTCGTGGTGACAAGCCCTCTTCTTGAAGCTAAGCCACCATCTCCCTCCTCTCCTCTCCCCCCCATTAGCATACAAAAGACACTCTTGTCACTCAGGAGATTCTAAGGGTTTTAGGGGCTCTGTGACAGGAACCCCGGACAAAGACCAAATATTTATTTTATTTATTTATTTATTTATTTTAAAGATGACCGGTAAGGGGATCTCAACCCTTGACTTGGTGTTGTCAGCACCACGCTCAGGCAGTGAGCGAACCGGCCATCCCTACATGGGATCCGAACCCGTGGCCTTGGTGTTATCAGCACCACACTCTACCGAGTGAGCCACAGGCCGGCCCCAAATATTTATTTTTTATTATACCATAAGGTATGAGGGAGAAGTCAAAGTAAACTTCAGGACCAGTGTCCCAGCCTGGGCCCAACTTCTGGCTACTGGCCCTCCGAAGTACCTGCCTGGCCCCAGGGTCCCTAAATGGGGACAGGGGTCTTTTCCTCCTCCCCTCTCTTCTTTCTCCAGGAGATTGTGACTGCTTTAAACTGTGGCAAGAACATTGTGCCGGTCATTGATGGCTTTGAATGGCCTGAGCCCCACGCCCTACCTGAGGACATGCAGGCTGTGCTTACTTTCAACGGCATCAAGTGAGCACCCCACACCCTGCCCTGGGGACAGAAAACTGAGGGAGGGAGGTGGGTACAAATCACCAGGCAGCACTTGGGCAAAGCAAACAGGCCCCCTGGGCAGCAGCTCCCTCTGCCCAGCCCGCTGACGTATGCTGCCTCTGTGCCTGCAGGTGGTCCCATGAGTACCAGGAGGCCACCATTGAGAAGATCATCCGCTTCCTGCAGGGCCGCTCCTCCCGGGACTCATCTGCAGGCTCTGACACCAGTTTGGAGGGTGCTGCACCCATGGGCCCGACCTAACTGGTTCCCAGTTCCCAAGCCCTGCTGTGCCTCCCATTTCTATGTCCTCCCTGAAGGAACAGCTCCTCAAACCAGCCTCCCTGGGCCGAGACATCCTGGGCTACTCTCAGGAAATGGCCCTCCCTGTCCCCCACCCTCACAGCCCGTCTCAAACCCACCTTCCTCAGTACCTGGCCCTGCCTTCAGGTGCTCTGTCTTGGACATGGGGAAGGTCCCTCTCAGTCCTGGAGACGCTGGCGATGGTGGGGGCTGCTGCACACTCTCCCTTCTACTGCCCTGACAGCAGCCAGCTTGAGGAGGGTGAAGGCAGGCAGCCTCTAGCAGGAATTAGGGCAATTCCAGCCAGGGATGAGAGGCCAGCAATGGCTCTCCACCCAGACTGTGCCTGGCCCCTGGGCTCACCACTCCCTGCCGCACTGTGGCCTTGACCTGTAACCACTCAGTGTCCTTAGCTGCCTGACTAGGTCCCAGGTCCCTTCCCAGCCTTCCTTCGGGGAGGCCTCCTTTGCCACATCCGGGTTGGGCCGAGCCAGCCCTCACTCTGGCCAGTCTACAGCTGCGGCCAGCTTTGCTGCACTAGCTGGTGCACAAAAGCCTCCTACTTGGGCCAGGGTCTGGGCAAGGGGAGGCCATGTCTCCAAGCCCACCCAACCCCATGACCTGGTGCTGTGCCTCAGGCTCCTGCCTGGCCTGGCCCTGCTGTCTTCCCCAGCCCCTCACCCACCCAAGGCTGCCCACCCATTTGCTCAGTGGGTGAGGAGGACCAGGCAGCCCCCTGGCAGCAACAGCAGCCTGGGCAGAACCTGCAGCTCTGTGGGAAGAGGCAAGATCCTGAGGAAGGGCAAGGGTTTCTACCTAGGGCAGTTTCTCCAACTTTAATGTGCCCATAAATCTCCTGGGAATCTTGTTAAAATTCAATCCAGGAGATCTGGGGTGGGGCCTGAGATTCTGCATTTCCCACAAGTTCCCAGGTAAGCTGATGTTGGTGTTCCAGGGAGGACACTTTGAGCAGCAAGTCTCTAACACACGAATCCCTGACAAATCTTTTCCATTTCCCAAACACTCCACTCCGTGGTCTCTGTAATCATTGGTGCAACCCAATCTGGCATTGTCTGCTTTTTACAGATAAGGAAATTGAGTCTCAGAAAAGTTGAGTGATGAGTCCAGCTTCCCAAGTCATTAGTGGCAGCCTCAGGATCCAGACCCAGACCTCCTGGCACCAAGGCAGGTGGTGGAATTGCTCTGAGAATCACCCTGCAGGCTGTGCCCGAGGCAGGGCTGTTGCTTCTCCTTTGTCCCAAAGGATCTAGCAGTGTGGGATGAGTTCTAGCAACAAAAGGCTGACCCAGGGGCCATACAGAAATAACTGAGCATGAATGTCCCTCTGCCCCACCCTCTAATAGACCCAGGCTCCAGCTAGTGCAGTCAGCCGGAAGGTGCCCTGCCTCTTCCCACCTCAAGTCTGGCTGAACTCCCAGACCCCTTCCCCACGGTGCTGGCCAGGTTACTCCTAGCTCTCGGGCCACATCATCAGATAGTCAAAGGTCTCTAGGCTTGGGACTCCTTCCCTCCCCTTCACTCCCTGCCGGAGATACTGTCTTCAGCCAGTCCTGGCCAACTTTTGGCTTTGACTGCACCTGATCCTCTTTCCTTGATGCAGCACGAGTGCTCCCCAGTGCCAGTCCCAGGGCTAGGTCCTGGCACGATGAACAAGGCAGACCAGATGCTGCCCTAGAGCAGTCAATAACAATACAGTGTATGCGTACCTCCAGGGAGGCTTTCTGTCTTTTTGTCCCCAGTCTCACTCCCTCCTGAGAGGCTTCCTGGTTTTTCTTCTGTTCAGTACACCCTTCTCTGCAGTCCATCTCCACTGTCTGGCTTTCTGGTTGACTTCTGCCCCCTCCTCTGTCTCTGAGAAATCAGAGCCCAGCCTCCAGCCCCAGCCAGTGCAACTGAAGTGACGAGCCACCCCCCAGCCGGGCCAGTATGTGCAGGGGTGACTGCCTCCCATGCTGTGACAAACACTGCTCAGGTCACAGCAGGGCAGCACCAAGGCCTTCACCTTCCACCTAGGCCTGGCCCCTCAGGGCTGATCCTGACAGAGGGCCCAGAGGTAGCCTTTCCCACAGAGCCTGCTCCAGCACATTCTGCAGGGTCAGGGTTTTCTGCTTGGCTGGGCTGCAGCTGCTGGCCCTGGTTGGGGCTGAGTCAGCTAGGTCCCCACCCCAGGTGCCAAGAACTTGTCAGGAACATTCAAAGGCCAAAAGTCACAATTCATTCATCCTTCCCCCAGGCCCACCTAGTACCATGAAGAGAGGTGTTTCATTCTAGAATGTATGAGGTGGGAAGGGTCGTCTCAGAGCATCAGCTAATCATGTTTCCTAACTTGTCCAACCAGGTGTGATCCCAATGATCAAACAAACTGGGGCATCGCAGACCTATAGCCTCCCAGAGGGGCTTGCTCAAGGTCACACAGCTGGCCAGATGTGGCACCCAGAGTAGAGCCCAGGCTGAGGCCAGCTCAGAGCCTTTCCCCTCTTCTCCTCACAGCCTCATGGTGGTTGAGTCAGTGGGGGGCCCTCCCCTTGCTTCGGTCTCCCAATTACGAGGGGACAGTGAGGTAGGGATTCTGCAAACAGGGGCCCAGGCTGCAGAAGCCCCAGCCGGCCCTGGCTTGCCTGGCTACCCCCTTTTCACCTGCATGACTTGCAACCAGAAAAACCAGCTGGTGGGAGAGAATGAAGGTAGAAAAGGGAGCAGGACCAAACCCCTCTGGCAATTCTGGCTTGAAGAGCCAAGTACCACCTGATTTGGGTCTGCTTGGGGAAGTTATGGCCTCAACAAAGCCAGTGCCTTAATATTAAATAATTCTGCTTTTCAACTTCAGGTTCAGACCTTCCTAACTCCCTAGAAATGGGCCCCTCATTCCCTGGGAAGCTGGGGCCCCTGGATCATATAGGGAATCAGGCCCAGCTCCCAGGTTCCTGTTGACCTACAGAGGCACAAGGGATGGTCTCAGCATATGGCTCTGCTGAAACGCCTGGCAATGGGAGGTGCTGGGGACTGAGTGGTAACGAACTGATTCTGCGTAGGCTGGTATAGCCAGGAAGATGGGTACAAGTGCGTTCAGGGTTGGGATCTGACTGACCCTCAGGAATGAGCAGCCAGGGCTCTGTCCTGAGCTTCTCCACTGGCCTGATGCAAGCCTGGCAGCCTTTCATCTCCCAGTGCTCAGGAGCAGAAAATGGCGAGTCAGATGAGGCTTTGGCTAGTCACACCCAGCACAGATCAAACAGGCAGCCCAGGGCTCCTGCCCTGTCCAGCCGCTGCTGTTATCTGACCTATGGAAGGCAGACTGGGAGCAGGGAAACAGAGGGCCCTAAAGCCCAATGCGTGGGCAACCAGAAGGTTCACTTCAGTCTGATTAAATGGATTTATTATGACAAATGGCAGTGTTAAGCCTAGGGGTGGGCAGACCATAGCCAAGGATTGATTCCCTGACCCCAAGCAACAGCAGCACTCTCTCTCCAGGGGGTACCAGGCCCCCCCCATGTCCCCTCTTCCCCCAAAGCTGCATTAAGCAGGTCCCATATTCATTAAGGAGTGACTGGTGGCAGCTGCACACCTCAGGAACACAGTACCGTGGGCTGCGCACTTGGGGCTGGAAGGAGATGCCAACCCTCATGCTTTATCTGGTCCCTAAAGTGTTACCTCCATCAGGACCTCTCCTCTCCCCTGCAGGGTTCTAAGTGACGGATGGCATAAAGATGAACAGACCCCCGTCCCAAATAGCTCCCCTGCCACCCACCCTGGAGTGGGCCTGTCTGAGTCCTAGTCAGAGGCTGGCTCAGCTGTGGATGAGGTGGTGCCTTGTTCTAGCTTGACCACCTGCTCCCAGGTGAGCACTGTGCCCTGTCAGAGGAGCTGCTGGGGCTGCTGTGGGCTGGGCTCCCAGATGCACACTTTCAGCTGGTTCAAGTTCACTCTGCTCCTCTGGCCCTCTGTCGTCTGGTCCAGGCAGATCAGGGGCTGTGGGGAAACTGCTGGAATTCAGGGCGAGGAATAGCCTTTTCCAGAATCCTGTTGGGGACAGAGAGAGGGTTCAGATTTGACATGGGTGAACCTTCAACTCCTCTCTGTAGAAGTCTGATTAAATGGATTTATTATCACAAATGGCAATGTTAAGCCATTTGTAGAAGTGGCACAGGATCTACTTGGGTGGGCTGGTCCGGGTCTGAACTCCCTCTCTACCCCCTCCCCAAGCTAAGAGGTGGAGAACAATGTTCTGAGACAGATGGCTCTGGAAAATAACTCTTAAGACTACAGGGGAAGAAGTCAGTGGGTCAGGCTAGCCCGTGGCCCAGCCATGCCGAGCTGAGGAAGCTCTCTGGGCTTCCCTTTAGCACAGTTCTGCTGCCATAGTTCCATCTATAAAATGGGAGCAGATGGAGATGAAGGGAACAGGGAGAAAGAACACAGCCTTGCCAGGTAGAATGTTATGCTGATCCTTCCTTACCCACCCCTCTGCCTTGCCTTCAGGCAATGACTCCCAGAGGATGAGGCAGCCATCTGCAAGGATGAGACACCGAGAGGGGAAGGGTTCCAGGAATGAAGCCGCCAATTTCGAATGGGAGGAGGAAGAGGAAACCTTTAGAGTAAAGGGCTCCATTATGAGCAAGGGTTCAGGGCCCTGCATTACCCAATCAGAATGGCTGGGATGAAGAGGAGGCCAGCTCCCAGGAGGAAGGGGAACCCCTTCATGAAGTTCCGAGTGGCTGGGTAAAGTGAGTTGAAGATGCCAGAGGCCATCAGCATGGCCAAGCTGTTCACACTGGCCACAGCAGAAAAGAGAGCACCTGTGAAGAAATAAATGTCACACTCTGGAGTTTGAAAGACCCAGATTCAAATCCTGCCACCACTACCTCACAGCTGTGTGACCTGGGGCAAGTCACTTAGCCTCTCTGAGTCTTGTCTTCCTTCACCTATAATCTACTGCATCATGTGATATGATAAGGATTCGATAAGGTCATGCATGGAAAACACCTACATGGAGGTGCAGTTCATAAATAAGTGGCTGCAATTAAATCCACATTAAAACTACACGTGATAGCTTCTCACGAAAACCTGATTGAAATGGCTTTTTTAATCCTATTTGGGATCATCTCCTCTCTGAGATTAACTGCTGGTTTGATTCCCAGTTCTAACACTTACTCGATGAAAATCCAAGGCAGCATGGTTCATGCCAGCCCTGGACAACTCAACAGAAGTGCATATACTTTGGCCACTCACTTCTCCAGGGTGGCAGGGAGGAAAGTAAGCTATCCCCCAGCCATGGCTGCCTGCCTGCCCATTTCAGGCAACACTGAGTATGAAGAAGAGGATGCAGGTTGATCCTGACACTCACCGTGCTCTGACTTGCTCACCAGCTTGGAGAGCTTGGCCCGGATGACAGGTGTTGTGACTAATGACAGAAAGAGCAACCCATACGCTGTGGAAAAATAAACAGTCGTCAGGAAAATGGGGTTGGGAAGTGGGGTGCCCAAGCGAGAGGCAGCAGAGCACCTATATACATCCCATGTGGGACTTAGGTTAGACCCAGGAAGAACTTGCTTGATGGTGAGGGTGGGGAGACAATGACCAAGGAGGAAGGGAGACCACCCTTCTCCAGTCTTGGCCTCCCTGCTATCACTTTCATGAAAACACCGATTCCCACCAATTGCATTCGTGGCAGGACACCTCTTGGGGTAACAGCAGGCATCGCTCACCCACTTAGCACTTAGTAGGGAGACAGCAGGGCACAGAAACAAGCATGGGCTTTGGAGTCAGCTCCAAGTTCAAAACCTGCTGCCACTGCTGACCATCTGTGTGACTTGGGTGCTTATCCTCCCTGAGCCTGACTCCCTGCATGTACAAGGAGGAGAATAAGGCCTTCATCACAAGATGGTTCTGAGGTGTAGGAGGCTGAATAATGATCCCCAGCGATATCAGGTTCCAATCCCTGGGCTGTAAATGTTGCCTTATTTGGAAAATGAGTCTTTGCAGATGTGATTAAGTAAATGATCTTGAGATGGGGAGACTGTCCTGAATTATCAGATTGGACCCTAAACACTGCCACAAATGTTCTTATGAGACGAAAGCAGAGGGAGATTTGACACACAGTGGAGAAGACACAGGAGGCGATGTGACTGCAGAGTCAGAGACTGGCAACGTGGCTACAAGCCAAGGAAGGCCAGCAGCCACCAGAAGCTGGAGAGACAGATTCTCTCCTAGAGCCTTTGGAGGGAGCACTGCCCTGCCGACTCCATGATTTCAGCCCTGCGATACTGATTTTGGCCTTCTGGCCTCTCAGACTGTGAGAGAATAAATTTCTATTGTTTTAAGCCACCAAGTCTGTAGTAATTTGTTACAGCAACCTGAGGAAACTAATACATGAGGTAAAGAGGTAACATCTATGAAGAGCATGGCATGGTGAGGACACAGTCCCTGAGTTCCTTTTCCCTTTGAATTTAGTTACTTACAGGTTTACAGTTTTCTTCATAACCATTTCTCTCTCTTGGGTGAGGGTTGTCTCTCAGCAAAACTGCAAACTCCTAGAGGACAGGGGATCCTCCAAAGTGGGTATCCGATGAGGCATGACAAGGCCGATTCAGGTGTCAGACCTCCCCCAAATCCCACTCTGCTGAGACTCCCCAGAGCAATGACAGCACTTTCATCATCTCTGCACACCCCAGGGCCACAGGCATGAGTGAAAGGTACCTGGTCCCCTTCTGCTTCATTGTCAGACAAGCAGCTAAGAAATCTGTGATTACTGAATGGCTGACTTCATACACAATACATTTTAGGACTCTATCAAAATAGCTGTTCCTTTTAAAATGTTAACTTCCAGGCCAGCCCGTGGCTCACTCGGTAGAGTGCGGTGCTGATAACACCAAGGCCACAGGTTCGGATCCTATATAGGGATGGCCGGTTTGCTCACTGGCTGAGTGTGTTGCTGACAACACCAAGCCAAGGGTTGAGATCCCCTTACCGGTCATCTTTTTAAAAAAAATTAAATAAATAAAATAAAATGTTAACTTCCAGGACAGCCCGTGGCTCACTCGGTAGAGTGCGGTGCTGATAACACCAAGGCCACAGGTTCGGATCCTATATAGGGATGGCCGGTTTGCTCACTGGCTGAGTGTGTTGCTGACAACACCAAGCCAAGGGTTGAGATCCCCTTACCGGTCATCTTTTTAAAAAAAATTAAATAAATAAAATAAAATGTTAACTTCCTCATTCCATGGCCAGCAGTGCCTCTCCCCACCTAAAAGAAGAGGAGGAAGTGGGGAGGGGAAGGGGAAGGAAGGGGAGGAGGAGGAGAGGGACGAAAGTAAGCAGGAATTTCATATCTGTGGCTGAGAAAACTAGCTTTTTTAAAAACCCAAAAAGCTGACCAAGGATATTTGAGGTAGGTCCTGTGATTCTTATCAGAGACGTGAGTATCAAGGCATTAATGGCATGGACTTTGTTTAAGAATACCATAAATAAGCAGTAGGGGCCAAGGGGTGAAACAATTAGTGTATGAGCCATACTTTCCTCTTTTGCTCTGTATTACCAACAATATTTATGGTTGATAATATGGATTAATTACTTTGGCTACTGAAGGTCTGTATTTTCCCTATATCAAAGATGTTATTTTTCTGGGATTTCTTATCAGTGTGCCTTCCAGTACAGGCTGGGGAAACAACTATGTATCCAAAGACTCAGGCAAGAACCAAACGTGGAGGCAGTGAGTGACTGGCCCCAGTTTTCACCCAGTGCTTTTGGGACAAGCTGTCCCTGAGCCCATACACTTTACCTGTGAACATGAGGGGTGTGGTGGTAGCAAATGCAAACACCACCATTCCCACGATATTGAAGGCCAGGCCAATCTCGGCCACCCAGGTGTCGGCCAGGCAGCATTGCAGAAGCCTCAGGCCCAGCAAGCTGGTGAGGTAGGGGAAGTATTGAGCTGCAGAACCATAGCCGATTAGCCTGGAGTCCCAGCAGAGAGGCGTGCTCAGTTCATAGATGGTCAGGATGTCCTGGGCCCCGAAGTGCACGATGATCACCATGAAGATGGCCAACGAGTACAGGGCTAAATGCTTCCTGGACTTCTCTGGGGCCGGAGCCACATAGAGTTGGACAATAGATCGGTGATGACGGAGTGTAAAGAGCCGGGTGGACTTGGGCTCCTTCACGGTCTCACCAAAGCACAATGCTGCATAAAGAGCCACGGCTATCAGCAAGGCCAAAGCCAGCCAGAAGGGGTTGGCATAACCCTGGGCCCGGAGCCAGTAGCCCCCCAGGAGGCTGGCCAGCATCCCTGCCACACCGATGCATGCTTCCAGCAAGGCCATTCGGAAGGTGCGGCTGTGGTTGGAGCTGACATCTGCCACAGAGGCAAAGCTAGCAGCCAGGATCCCATTGAAGTCGCCGAAGAGGGCACAAAGGATGCGGCCCAGCACGAAGAAGCCGACGTGGAGCTGCAGCTGCACCACAAAGATGTACACCACGACCTGGACCAGCAGGCCCAGAGAGGCCAGCACCAGCAGCGGGCGGCGGCCCACGTGGTCACTCCAGGCTCCCAGCAGCGTAGACGAGCAGAGCCCCACCAAGAAGCCACCCAGGTTCATGTAGAGGGTCCAGTGGGAGGTAAGGGTCTCCACTTCCTGTGGGGGCATAATTACCAGGGTGCATGTCCTCACTCTGGGTTGCCCACCCCGCAAAACATCGCATCCTGGGAACTACAGTGATGAGACCTTTATTGGGGGCCCTAAACCTCAGACAATCTTGGTGTAACTCTCAAAAAATGATACAGGAGACGGGGGTGGTGACAAGAGATGGACCAAGGCCCCATCCCTCACCTTCACCCCTTTTGGTAACACTCAAGGCCGGGCTTTATCTAGATCAACTTTCCGCATCCCCTCGCTGCAGCTGTCAGGCCTCCTTTGCTCTGCTCCCGCCCACTACCCAACATGCAAACCCCGCAGCGGCCCCCACTCTACGCAGGCCCCGCCTCTCAGCCGCCCCCACGCTCCAGCCCGGGCCCCGCCCCCGCCACGCTCCTCGTCCTTCCCGCCACCGCTACCTGCATGGTGGGGTCCCCGCTGAGGTTGCTGCAGTCCCCCCTGTGGCGGGTGCCATTGTAGCCGAGGTCGGTGCTGAAGCGGTGCCATAGGTACTGCGTGGTGAGCGGGCCCTGCAGGACCACGGAAAAGTTGGCCAGGAAGACGAGCGGCTCCACCAGGCCGCGGCACAGCACGGCGGCTGGGGTGCGGGCGCGGGACT